GTTCTTTTTTAATTGATTGGAGCTGTTGTTCGAAATTAAGGGAGGGAAATAAGTCTAGATCAATCTACCCTCCGTTGTCGCGTAGGTATGTAGTCAGATGAAGATCGCAACGTCTTCAATGTATATTGGTTTATTACAAACTCTCCTTTTCTCCACGATGGCGTATCATTAGATCAGCTACATTGGCTCGAGTATCACCGTGCGAGAAAGTCTGACCAACAGCCTCTTTCGCCAATAATTAGCGATAGAAATCCGTCTCTATTGTGAGTTTTAGATATTGTTTTGCAATGAGATCATATTTGAACACTACTTTTTGACCACTCATTCTGAAGAGAAACGTTGATACGTCACATTTCCGCCATTTTGTTTTTATACAAAAATAAAGATAAAAAGCTAGAAGGTGAATAGACTTCTGACGTCTTCCATATAAATTATTACTGTTGTGACGTCTGTGAAATTTGTATCGTTGCGCTGCGCTATTTAGATTTTTGAAAAAAGAAATTAAATTTATTTTTAATATCATTTATTGACTGTGCAAATATAAATTTTGAATATTTATCTGCCAGGTTCGTCAAAATGAAGTGAATGAAAACTTTTTTTATCTTCTACCGGATATTTTTTTAATATTTTGAGTATATTCACTGATGAAATAAGTTTCCCTTTTTAACAATGCTATACACTCCATAAATTATCTCACATTAAACAGATCCAGAGAAAAAAATGACGATAGGTCTAAAACTGAAGTTTATGTTGAAAGGTACTCAATTTAAAAAAGTGCCGGTACCAACTCGTAATAAAATTAAACAGGGTTGATTGCCCCAGAGCACTCAAATGTTATATTGGTACGATTTATTTATATAGAGTTACTTTTAGCTTGATCCAATAGTTCAGTGGTCGGTTACATAAAGCACAGCAATCCACACAATTATGTTTATTGAGGTGGTGTAAAGAGTTTTCCGACTTACTAAAGTCATTGGCGCATAACTAAACATGTTTCTTTGTTTTTCCACTGTTTTTTAATGAAACTTTTTTTCTTAATCAAACTTGTTTCAAATCGCATAATGTTGATTTGTTATATAGGATACAAGAACTTACATGTCAGTTTGCTTTTTTGTTTAATTATTTTACCATTAAGATGGTCGGGTAAAAAAGATCTATTATACTGTTATTTTGCGATTGATTGGTAGTTTCAACTAATCCCAAAATAGCTTCGGCCAAGTCATATTAGCTAATTGCTAATGTATTTTATCGAAGTTTTGTTGGATAACCACGTCGTAAACTATACGTGGTACTTTCAGCTGCCGCTGCTCCGTACCCTCACAATGCTCAACTAACTTTTGACATCGTCAGCGGAGTGTGATCTGCTTGCGTGGCAATGGGCGGCTATGTGAGTGGTAAATGCTTGAGGTTTTGTGAAATAATGGACACTAGGGAATCGAGTGTATTATTATTATAGTATTATAATGTAATTGTACATAAATGTAACTTTTATAATATTAAGTTACGGGACGGACAAGTCGTGCGCCTGATGGTAAGCTACACGCCTGTCCATAACAGTTGCAATGCCACTCCCGAGTTTTAAATCGCAAAAATCTGTGGGGCACTGCCATTGGGCCTGTCACCCTGAGATATAAGTTGACAAGTCCCATTTGCCTGTAATTTCACCAGCACCCTTACGTTTCAAAACCGAAACACAGTAATGCTGACATTACTGCTTGGCGGCAGAAATAGGTAAGGTGGCAGTACTTCCCTGGACGAACTCTTTCACAAGGAGATCTACTGTTACTAAAACTTAACTTCTTATTTAGCTTCCTTTCACGGTGCATTAGTACTTAAATTGTTATACCGTGTAAATTTTCAATAAATAAATAAACAAAAAAGAAATTTTCAATTAAGTAACCACGTCGCAATGTTAAGAATATTGAAAATTTTACAAATGTTGATCCTGTTTTAAATTTCACTTCAATAATTTTCCTTCTACCCTCACAATTCCTCCTTCGGACTACTAGAAAGTTTGGAACACTCCATCCTTATGACTTACTGCGTACTTATTCGCATGAACAGCTTTTCATTTGCGTACGGCATGTAGTGGAATATATTACCGATATGTTATCCGAAAGCTACAATTTGGGACTGTTTAAGGCTAGAGTGGATAGATATTTAAATGACAAACGCGTCACATTGTCGCTTAAAATCAGATTAAATCGTGACCAAACCTTCGTGTTGTGTACTCGTCTATATATATTATATGTACATAAAAAAATGCTTGCAATTTTAAATATGTAAAAATAATTAATAACGATAACAATTTATAATGATAATAATAACGCGCACATACTCATAGCCTCACACTAGGGACACCCAGTATCGCGGGTGCCAAGATCACACACATAGACAACCACAAATTACACCCAAACTCACGAGAGAAATAAATGAAGGCCATACAAATATTTCTCCCGACACGGGAATCGATCCTCGATCGATCCCGATGGTAACCGTTAACATGGTAGGCCACAGAGGCAGTTAGGCAGTATTGATAGCAAAAAAATTTAGGTTTCTCGTACAAACATGGACAATACGTGGGCATTGACTACAGTGATGTTAAAAAAATAAAAATACAACAAAATAACTTTTATCCGCCTTCTAAGATACAGGATCCCCTAGTTTAGAAGGCAGGATAATCTTGTATATTAATATATATGTTCTTATCTATATGACTTATAAAAAAATATTGTAACCATTTTATTAGTTGTGATTTATAAATAAACATTATTATTATTTTCTTTTCGTATACAAAATTTCTAAATATGATTTGCCCTTGGTCAAAAAGCGGACGAGTGATAAAACTAAAATAAATAAATAAACTAAATAAATAAATAAATAAATAAATAAAACTATTATACAGGTATTACAGGTTTCTTGGCGGTATGATTTTTTATTCTTCACCCGATATTCCAGAGCGATTTCACGCTCCACAATAACGGGTTAATCCCTCATCAGGCTGAATTTAGACGGGCACTGTTAGGAAGCTACTCACGACATGTCGACGTCTTTATACAACAACGAAATATTGCAGAGTTTACGATTTTGATATAAGCATACAGCGATGAGCAGAGCAACCGAAACTTCGTCGTAAAATAAAGCACCCATAGTACATCAAAAGAAAATTTAAGAAGATAGGTGTGTGGATGGGATTTGCGATAAAGTTTGCGGTAAGGACGGTTGCTGTGTTATTGTACAAACGCTGCAATGTATAACTTCGTAAAACCTTGTAACAAACACTTTAATTTTCGCAAAAGAACTCAAATGCAGCGATGTTTTCCTTATAGTTAGCTTCATTAACAATGACGTAAAAAATCTTAAACCGGACTTTAATCAATGACTTCCTACGCAACCAACAGCGTGACCGCATCATAAGCGCTTCATTTGTTATAAACATTGTTCTTATCATTCGTGTTTCGATTTCATGGCATTAATAGAAAACTTGGAACACACACTTTCATTATCTTGATCTTAGATTCTTGATAACTGTGGACGTAGTTTCTTGCCATGTTTGGTGAATGCGAATAGCTGATTATTAGACATTACATAAATTTATTTAGTGAACTATAATTGACACCTTTCTCACACCTACTTTAGCATTATATTAATATTCAATCCGGCTACTAGGCCACGTAGTTTTATACCGATTTCTGGCACTAAGCAGTAATGCTCACATTACTGCGTTTCGGTTTTGAAGGATAAATTAATGCTTACTGCGCAAAAATGAAAGTTGTAACCATTGAAATAACAAAGTAATAACGTTAAATCCCTCTCCTGTAAAAATTTGGTTTGTGCAGATACGCGCCTTTTACCAATGCTACACACGCGGATTTACATTATCCCGACGTTATGTCTCAGGATGATGGGCGCGGTGGCAGTACCCCTCAGGCCTTTACACAATTTAAAGCTCTCAGTGCCACAGCAACTACTATGGACAGGCGTGTCGTTTACCACCAGGCACACGACTTGTTCATCCCGTCACTTGAAATCTTAAAAGAAATCAAAAGTTAATAGTAACTGTCTATTATATTTTGCATCGATTTTTCCCGCGAAATACGTTTTAGAATTTTAAACTATCCAATAAAATTACAATCTAAGATCTAGCTAGCAGTATGACCAAGTAGACGCAATAGCCTGTCCCGAAGGACGAAAAAATTTACTACTATATTTGTTCTTTATGACAATTTTGTGATTTATCAATAAATCGCGTGTGTTTCTTATCTATGGCATTACGGCGTCATCATTTCGCTATTACCACTCGTAGTTTATTAGTCTCGTAGCTTTCATCTATCAAGCCAACTTACATTGACCTAAATTTTATACAATTTTAGCTTTAACGTTTTATTCTCCGTCAGCAAGGTTAATTTTACAACGTAAGACGTAAGTAGTAGGTGTAGATACCATTCACAATTTTAAAAACACGTGTTAAGTTGCTTGCTGTTTATTACAAGTACGTATTACGTATCACAGAAGACGTAAACAATCGGCAATGTGTCGTATGTTGTTTCTAGAAATACAACAATGTGAAGTAATGTAAGCAACACCGCTCATAGCTCATTCTTCGATGTTTACAGAAGCGACACTGTTGAAAGAGCAGTCCAGTTTTAACATTATCATGTCACTAATGTTAACAGAAGAAATTTTGTAAGTCAGTCTAGCGTCATCGTCAGTTCGCCGGACGGTACGTGGTATGAGTAAGCGTTAAGACTCGTATTGCGACAGGTGGATAATTATCTCGACTTCGCCTTCGTCTACAACCACCTAACGCAACCAGTTCGGTTGCTATCGCGGTATTTGACCGTTTTATAATACTATCGATAGAAAAGTTTGAGACGCGAAAGTTGTAGTACAATATAGGAGCAATAAAACCGTCGAAATGTGTCTATTTCTTCTGTCTTTATAGTTTATTAGTTGGGCACAATGGAAAGTGTAATAAATTAGTAATTCTTTTGTTTCAGATCTGCAGCTTGCGGCCGAACTTGGGAAAACTCTACTGGAGAGAAACAAAGAGCTTGAAACCGCTCTACGACAACATCAAAATGTCATCGAAGATCAGGCGCAAGAAATTGAAGTAAGAAATTCGTCATTATTAGTCATTGGTAACTGGCTGTGGCTCAGATGGTTTGAGCAATGTTACGGTGCAGAATGGTCGTGGATACAAGTCCCACCGGCTCGACAAAATTATTACTGTGTGTTCGAACACACAGCATTGCATTCATAATCATAAAGTAGTCATTGGTTAGGTAAACATTGACAAAACGCAAAGCAAACATTGACCTGCCAGCATAGGTCAATGAAAGCAAATGAATACCATAATTACGACGACATTAGGTAATTTTGAAGACACCTAAACACTTTTCTATTCAATTGCATTAAACATGACAGTAAAAACTAAGTATGCAGGGTCAAGAGCAAATCAAGCTCGAAACTTAAGATTTAAATTGAACTCTATGTGTTTGCGATAAGAATAGTCCAAAGTCCAAGCTTGATACGTTTTTAACTGTGTCTACACAATGTTTCTGAATAAGTCGTGATTTTATTTATTCAGGCACATTTTCTTTTACCACCCTAGTATTATTCCTAAATAAATACTTAGGTATGGTAAATAATGAATGAATGAATGATTCATCATCATCATCATATTCAACCATACTGCAGTTGTTATAACGTTTGTTACATCAATAAAGTGTTAACGAAGGTTTAACAATATTTTTCAGTACTTGACAAAGCAAACAGTCGCCCTTCGCGAGGTGAACGATTCAAGGCTCAGAATCTACGAACAGCTCGAAGTTAGCATCCAGGATTTGGAGCGAGCCAATCACAGACTCGCCGTCGACCATGCCGCCGACAAGAAACATATTAAAACGTGAGTTTTGAGACATTTACAATGTTAATGCACGAATGTAGTCTTGACAATCATTGTAATTTGAATCATATACATCATAATGACATTTTTTACTGCCAATGGCGCATTATTGATAGTCCAAGATCATTTGCGTAATATTCGTTTTTCTTTCTCTGTGAATATTTCGCTTCTCATTGTTCATGTATGATGTTTTCTACTATTCACATCATGATACGATCACTGCGACGCAAAATTTTTTTTTCGCAATTTCCGTTTGTTGATGACATCGCTTGGTTGATTTCTCTAATGTAACATTCCATTCCCACGTATCAAAATCAAGATCTTGTAAAAAAAATAAAGCAATGTTTTGTAAAATAGCTCCAAAGTGTAGTCCCGTATAATGAGACCTTTTAATTTACAGTTTATGCGCCAACATTGAAACATTGGAAGGAAAATGTGAAGATGTACAAAAGACTGTTGATGACCTGAACGCTCAACTGGATATTGCTAGACGGCGAGCGGAACGGAAGCCAGAGAGCATCGAGAAACCCAAAGAGAAGGAACGAAAACCCCAGGAACCAATAACACCCAATTCTAAGAAACTTGAAGTAACGAGCACGCCTTTGAAAGTAGCGCCTCTCCCAGAACTGACGAAAGAGGACGAGGATTTACTAAGGCTAAGCGATGAGTTGAGAGAAAGCAAAGTAGCCCTCGCCCAAGAGCAAAGGAGAGTAACTGAACTGGAAGAACAGTTGGCGTCTATGGTACAGGAAAACAATAGAGTGCAAGACCAGTTGAGAAACTGGCAACAAAACGAAGATGGGCCCAAATCGATGCATGAGGAATTCTCGATTCTTGAAGAAGTCAGGTAATATAAAAAAATATTAAATGAAGTAAATTTAAAAGACGTCAAAAATACGTAGTTTTACTTCATAGGCAAAGAAACAATACTACATAGGTGCATACAGATGAATATATAACATTTTTATCACTTATAAATGATCTACATGATATATGAGGATGAATAAATGAACACGTGTCTTTTTCAGACAAGGTCAACTATGCATCAGGTGCCTTCGGGGCGTGGAAAGAGGAGACGATATGTCTTCCATTCTCGACGGAGACGACGACGACAGAAGTGCCATCAGCTCACTGATCCTCACTCCATCAGGGCAGGACAGTCTTAGAGACGACCACGTTACAAACAAACTTGTCAAATTCGACGTAAGTTTTGGTAAAATAAGAATGCACGATTACTATAAACGTATACATAAGCTTCTTCTTTGTACAGTACTTTTTAAGTGCTCCATTAACAATTTATGTGTAAGTAGTTTATATTATGCTTGTTCTGAAAAGTTGATCATTAGCGACGCAACTAGTTATAAGTTCAAGTAGGTAATAATTAACGAAAATAGCAGACTTTGCCAAGAAAACAAAACATTTTTTTTTATTTTAGCCTTGAAACCGTTGAAAGAGGTTTTGATTAGCTTTTCAGTAACCGTGTTTTCTAATTTATTTCTAGCAATAGTGTAACAATATTAACTCAACGTTCTGCGTTTATAGGCAAACAGATTAACAACACTAATGAGCTTAACTAATCAAGATTTGAATCTTGAAAATTCTGCAAATAATATTTTCGCAAAACAGTCCCTAAGTCAAAATTTCAAACTTCTATTTCTTTTTGTAAAAAGTCGATCTGCAGATGCGTACCTACACAAGTCACGCGCCTTTCACTCTTTAGCATTGGAGATGATCCCACCTTCCAGGCATACGTAAGCGGCATTGAATTTCCTTCCAACATCTCATGTGAATGTTTCGCTCGTTCTAGGCGACAAAGCTTTTCCAACTGCCCCTGATGTTGTTGATCACGCTTTGCATATGCATTATGAAGCGCATTTGCAGTAGTTTTCTTTGGATATATCGTATGTAGTCGAAGGTACGTCCATTACTGACACTTTTAGGCTAAGCGAGGAACGGTAACAAAACTAAAATGGTGGAAGTGGTACTTTTGGTTGGGTTTTTTTAATAAGGCGAAGACTTTATTGATTGCATGATTGTGTATTTCAGATTGCATGGTTTTAAATTGACTCGGAAGTGGATTTAGTAACGAATCAATTAGATTGTTCAATTTATAAATGTTGTCATCCTTAAATAAAATTGTTATCATTTGACAAAAGTCTGTCATTTGGATCTTTCGTCGATTGTCCGATCCTCTCTGTGTGAATTTAAATTGTACAGTACAAATTTAAGGAAAACTTCAAGAAATGTATAAAAAACTTCATGCAATTTTTCTGGGATGTACCTAAAGTGAACGCAAACTTTGAAATACCTTCTTAACAAGAAACATTGCCTGCTAGCTATTAAAATTCATAATAACCATATTGTTGTCGAGTAATGGGTGTATATTTGACTAATGAGTGCATCTTCTTATCTGACTCGTGATCATCCATTTATCTAAATCCTATCACAGTAGATCAACATAGTTCATTCATTAGCGTGATAATATAACAAGATGTCATGTTAATCAGTAACATTGACTCTAAACTATTCGCTCGTCTCGTTTGATTCATTATAATACAAAGGTCTTTAATATGTAGTTGCACTATCAATAACAGACATCCTTATACATACTAAATGTGACATTAGTTCTCTTTTATGCCTTTCATTAAACAAAATTTTGCATTATACACTCGAAATTAATATTCTCATCCTATTTGTTTCACAGAATGCAAAGGAAAAATTACTACAAGGTATATGGGCTAACAAAGAAGATGGCCACGAAAATCCCTATAGAGAGCTCGTGCAGAAGTACGAAGCTCTTCTCGAGGTTCAACTCTCGCAAGTTAAGAACATTAAAAAGAACAAACCCCATACTTTGCCCACCGCACAAAATCCATCCGGGTCCCTGTCCCTCCAAGATGAACTTCAGACTTCCGGAGAATACACCCACTTCAGCGTCAAGGACACAGACGATGAAAGTGGGCACGGCGAAGAGGCCCAGAAGGAGAATCAACAAAAGAAGGTTGAAACCACATCTCGGAAGAAAATTATTCAAACCCCAGATTTCTCTGAAGCTGAGACATCCAGCTCCGGTTTCTCAGACGAGACAAGTAACAAAGCTACACAAACAGAACGTGAAAGACCTGGATCGTTCCTTTGCACCATTGCTGACGGTGAAGACTACCGATTCAGTATTTACGATGACGCCAGTCCAATGGACAGCCGGTTTCGCAATAGGCCTGAATATCGTGAGCTATTTAAAGAAATATTCACCATTCTGAAGAAGGCAGCCGAAAACAAAGATGAAGGGGAGCAATTGCCACTTCTTGACGACACCACTGCTGGAAAAGTGCCACCTGTTACTCCAGCAAACGAAGAACAACCCGACAACAACTTCACTGACGACACACAAAGCGTCCTGTCGTCTGTAATGTCTGAACAGTCGATTCCAGTGTCCGATGTCACCCTTCCAGAAACACCAACCCTAAAAGAAAAGGAACAGACGAATCCTGAACCCATTAAGAAAGCAGTTGAGAACAAAGAAAATAAACCAGCAATAGAAGAGAGTACTAGCGCGGCGAAACCTGAAGAAAACAAAGAAAAAGAAAAGGTACCGGAAATTGTTAAAGGAAAAGAAAAAGAACGCGTTTTGACGCCGTTAGTGCGTCAGCCACTGGAATACATTGCGGCCACTAGAAAGAAGTCCAGACATCGCAACCGTAAACACAGTCAGGATCGTCAAGGGGCAGACTCTCCTGTATTTCCGTCGCCTCCAAAAATCACCTACCAGAAATCATCGAATAAAAAGAAGAGAGACTACAGACCAATCGAAATAAGTCCACTAGCGAAAACAGCCGAAAGTGAATGGAATGGTCACACAATGCAGTTCTATAACAGAAACATAAACTCTCCCACGCCGAGCGCAAGCGGCCGCACCGGCAAGATCTACCAAGCATGGAACCCCGAAACAGACTCATGGGACATTAAGCAGAGCACTGCATCACAGGAAATACATAAATTAAGAAAACTGGAGCTGTCATACGCTGAAGTACTGAGAAACGCAGATAAAAATAAAAACAGGCGTAAGAAGCATCAGTGAAGGATATTTTTTACCCGTCGACCCCTCTAGCTCATGAGCAAGAGCCGAGTGATCAACCGCCATTTGTCTTTGCCAACTGGACATAATTTAGTTTAGGAATGTTTGTGATCTGCTAGAGTAACTTTCTAATTTTATCTCAGCGTACTTATTATCTTAATTTGCCATATGTATCGGTATAATCGTTATATCGTATATTTAATACAAAACCACGTGTATGCAAAGACATTCCGACCCCTACAAATTGATAAGTATAAAACACACCCTCCGAGGACCTGTACAATACATACGTGTAGTATCATATCATCAAATTCTTTGCATTTATCCAAACACAATCATAGCTAAGATGGTTTGAGTAGAGTACTGCAACCGGATGAGTTTCACAGTTTTTTTTTCATCAATCCAAAAACTGAAATGTCATTGTCAAAATAATAACCGGTGCCACCTAGCGTGGAATGGTGAAATAAAAAAAACTAAAAATCGCTCATGATTTGGATGAGTTTTATATATTAACTATATTCTGTTACTATTTTAGTCACTATTTTAATTGTATATTATGTATAATGAAATAATTTTGTAAATATTCATTTTCTTAAGTTAATTCCACATTTTTTTAATTGCCATGGATTTTGCGAGTACTCAATTCTGTATGGAATTGTACGCTAATTATTTAATGAGGACGAAGGTTGAAGGTATAAATAAAAATTTGCTTTAATAATCAGTTTTTCATTTAGCCCTTGAATATAAGAATAAATAATGAAACGCTACATATTTATATTACAATAATATATAATTTACGTTTACTTTACACATACAATAATTACGCTAGGATGTTTTTCTTGGTCTTCACAGACTAAATGGACATTATATACAGCCGAGATATGAATATACGAATGTATCTATAAATTGCTCGTTACATTTAAAATGCTACGATCTATATTACTAAAGAAGTTAAATTAATTTTGTACTAAATACACACTAAGTTTCCAAAACTGAGTTCATTTTGTCTGTAATGACCATGAATGCAAAAAGTCAGACAAGTTAGCTAGAATGCCAAAATTCTGGGTAATTATTTTATATCACACATCAGGGTCACACTTAGAGCTCAATAAATAACAACAATACCGATTAACGACATTGACTTAAGTATCTTCATTACCTTAGCCTTTTCACAACAAATGTACACTTTAGTATATTATAACCTGAGCCTGAAGGCTTAAGAAAATTCTGATAAATATAGGAAAGATAGATTTCTCACAGAAGGCGTTTCGGCAAAAAAAGTCGTTAAAAACCAAAAACAAAGATCTGCAACAAGCACATAGAAAGATTCGTAAGGTCTGGTGGTGCGTTCCGTAGGTCACTTGGGAAAGTGTCTGCCACGGTATGCTTGAAGGCGCTGCTTCGAATCCAGCCGGATCGAAGGAGTTTTCTTTGTATTAATAATTATAACAAATAGTGGAGTAATTTCACAAAAAAATAATTTATTATCAGGCCAATAAAACATCATGACATTCAATAAACTTAAAAATTACAAATATGTACTAACCTTTCCTAGGTTAGGTACACTACAAACCCAGAATAGGAAGTAACTATTTCCACAGGTACAGAGTCAAAAGCACGTCAAGCTTTTAGTAGAGTTGAATTTATATCTTAAGTGTCAATTAAGATATAAATTCAACTCTATGCAGCTTACGATAAGAACGGTCCAAAGTTGACGTGATCTTGAATTTTGAAAGTTCCGTAAAAATATGATATTTAAAATTACTTTATATCCAACAGGTCGAACTAACTCTTATGCCAAACACTCGCGAATTGAATCAGAATATTGGCATTACAGCAAAGCTGGACATTTTGAAGACATCGCAATTTCGTAGAGATCGCTCTCTTATTGAAATAAATCATCAGATTTAACAGCAGGCGATGAGCATTTTTCTCAGACCTTAGTGAACTGAAATTACTATTTAAATATAAATACTAGGAATATTATGCTTCACGAAAGCTGTCAAATCTGTGCTAATGAGATTAGCCTGGAATATCGCGCTTTTTATACATAAAAAGACGCTATAGTGCACACCGCAGTTAGGTCCAATAGGACCACTTCGTTAATTTATATACTTCTCTGTCTAAGGACGTTTAGTACCTTGATTTACAACTAAGGTGTTAAGGGAGCATTTCTAGAACTAACGGTGTACTAATCTTAGTTTATTTTCATACCAGAGACACTTTGTTGCCAGATAGACAATATGACAAATTAGCGAGCTCTGATTGGAAGAAATGACAGCGCTTAAATTACGGGTTGAATAACCCTCGGAGGCCACTGCGATCTTAAAGAATTTCAAAAATATCTCTATTGGTATATTGTCCTGTCGTCCGAAGTAAAAAAAGCGTAACTGCAATTTTTGAAGTTATTAATAATAAGAAGAGATTGGTAAAAATGTATACCTTTACTATATCAAGAACTGTATAAATTGAGGCTATCTCATTAATCATATAAGACTAATATATATATTTTTATACATGTAAATAGCATCCAAATATACACAACACTTTGGTGTCATTTAAAGTATTATTGTAGGAAAAAATTAAATGTGGTGTACACCCACGAAAGAAGTAACAACCCTTTTGCGCTGATAGCTTCAATGTTCCTTAGTCGTACAAAGGAAATTATGAAAATTACCAATCACCCACTATTAAACTCTTCAGAAAAATTCAATTAAGCTGACCTTTCTTAGCTTTGTTGGAACGACAGAAAAGGCTATATTACTTATTCTGCTGTTCTAATTCTCGTTCGACGATCTTTCGGTACTCGTCGAAACCACCCTCTATGCTGGCCACGGATTCGTTGCCGCATACCCACAGCTCTTTGCACACCATGCGTATTAAGCGCTCGTCGTGAGATACTAAGATTACACCGCCCTGGAATTAAAGTGATTAATCAATAAGAGTAATCTAGTAGCAGTAGAACTCCTTGTGAAAAAGTTCGTCTAAGGAGGTACTGCCATCTTCCTATTTCTGCCATCAAGCAGTAATATGAGCTTAATGCGTTCCGGTTTTGAAGGGTAAGCGTGCTGGTGAAATTACAGGCACATAGGCATTGTCAATAATGTATCAAGGTGACGGGCGCAGTTGCAACGCTCTTCAGATCTTTGTGATTTAAAACTCTAAGAAGCGCTGCAACTGTTATGGACAAGCGTGCCCACGGAAGAAAAAAGCAATGGAAGTGCCTTAAGTCCCGAAGATTATCAGAACCGCAGTCCCCAAAACTCACACATTCATAATTTGAAACACTGTCAAGTCTTGATAATTATTGGTCGTAGTTTAAAAAATAAATAACGAACTATGTACTATTAATAATTAATTTAAATTATTCTATCTAAATTATTATTATTATAAATTATTATTATATCTATGAACTATTAATTTAAATTTTACCCTATTCGCATATCGTTAAAAATTCAATACCTATATTGCAAGTTACGACGTTTTGATTTTCTATTAAAATTTCAATCAAAGTACTGCCATCTAGCGGCTAATAGCTGAACGACGACGAATTCGAGATGTTCACTTAATTCTCCAAAAAAGAAGCGACCATACTGCGGTATAAGGTTTACTTTTGTTTCTTGCACCAAAAAAAAATATTACGATAAACAGACAATTGAAAATTTATTAAAATGAAATTAAATAAGACTTAACTATGATATGAAACAGCACCATAGATAAATATTACAAGTTTGACTATCATTTTTGCACTTCAAAGTAGCAAAATAGGATATTTTTCTACGATTTCAAGGTTTTGCGCGAGACCATTGACACGACCAATATAAAGCGGAAATGGCAGACTGAGCTTAAGTATGTGGAACTACGCGTACTGTTGGCACACGTGACACGCAAACTAAGCACTTCTACTGTATTTATTGTTCTGTGGGTGTGCCGCTTACTAGGTATCATAAAAAACAGAATTTGTCGACCACTTTTAACTAGTGATTTAACAAACTTTAGCAAAAAAAATTGCAAGTTTGCACCCTTGCTGCAATAATACCATAATAAAAATACAATAATGCCCATATCTACAAAATAACAACTTTTCTGGAGAAATGTATAAAGATTCTACGGAAAAAATTAGTCGGTAACTTTTTTATGTTAAATAGGAAATATATTAAATAGGAGTTATAAAATTTCACATAAGTATACGTAATTTGTTTAAATATTTCGTATGACTTGAAGTTATTAGTGCAATCAAACCACGAAGGGTACGAATTTACGAAAAAAAAAACTTAACTTCTCATATAAATTTGATTGGTTTTTCATAAATAGTTATTTTAATAACGTGGTGTAATATATTCCATATAGATGTTCATTCTGTACTGGTACAATATCGGTAGATAATGTAGCTATCTAGTTACTGTATAGGTCGGACTACACCAACGTTACAGGTGCAAGTGAACCAAGAGGTACTTTGAAAATGAATTCATTTTATTTAAAATATTCCACCACTTAAAAAGCTTCAATCAAGTGGTCAAGAGGGCGTGACGTCCATCGTATTATAATGGGTATAGAAAAAGTATTAAGTAAAAAATATAAAAATACTTTCAAATCTCACCGTATACTTGCTAATGCCCTTTCCTAACGCTTCAATTGTCTCAATATCCAAGTGATTGGTAGGTTCGTCGAGTACTAGGAAGTTAGGGTTGCCCATGCACATCCTGGCGAAGGCCACTCGGGATTTCTGACCTCCGGAAAGGCTTGCTATCGTTTGTAACGCAAGGTCACCGCTTACTCCGAAACTGCCAAGTTGTCTTCTGTATTCTTCTACTGTTTTTCCTGTAAACAATTGTACATGATTCAAATAGACAAATTCAATTGTAAAGCAGATTACAGACATATTGCAACTATTTGTGCTAGGATTTTTATATCTAGTGTTGCATACTGTAGAAAAACACTGACCAAAACACAGATTTATTACAATATTTTATAAATGTAAAATATTTTTTCCGAAACAACCGGTTACACTACGTCATTAATCCTTGAATAACTATAAAATTTAGTTCTATCTGCCACCAGTGTTACAGTGTTTAAATTTATTTTACCTATGAAATAAATGATCTTTGACTTTGTATGTGAAGCCGTTTCACGTATGTTCAGTTACTATAAAATGATTAATTTTATTCGATTAGAACCAAATTTAATTGTGTCTGCGGTCAATAGTGGCAGGCATAACTAAAATGTAGCATCTACTACCAGTGATTGCAGACGGGAATAGGGGATCGTGATGAAAAATTGTTAAAGAATGAATGATTAATTTTATAATTAGGTATAGTGATGTTAACCTGGATAACTTTTCTGAAGCAGTTCAACAGAATTAACGTTCATCTCGAGCTGATCGACGTGGTGCTGCGAGAAGTAGCCGAACTTGAGACCTCGGTGTACGCTGCGGATGCCGCTGGTGGGCGACAGGATGCCCATTATTATTTTTAGTAACGTCGTTTTGCCCGCTCCGTTGTCTCCCACCTCGAAAGTAAGAGAAAATTATTTGTCAGCTACTCTAAAAAGTCAACAGCTTTGGTTCTTTATCTGAGATTTTGATAGCTGGGTAAGATCGTGATACTTTAAAATACAATGTTTGTAATTGTCTAGTCATTTTTTAAGGAATAAAATAAGCTCAATTAAGAACGAAATTAACATTTTCTTAGGAGATATTGTTAGTACATATTGCCATAGATAACTATCCACCACGTTTAAATTAGTGACTTAAATTATTAGTTCCATGTGTGCACGCCCTTGTGACTAAATGTACAAATACAAAACCAGCTAAAATGTGGTTGCACATTTCACCGTTAAAAAAAGGAATTTTTGAGAGAACAGTCCCGCGAGCGCGCACCATACAAACATACTTTGATCATAATATTGTAATAAGACAAATAGTGCCCTTTCTGCCTGTTCGGCGTGTCAATAATTACACGTCACTCGGAGTATAGGGTTGTCACATTAATATTTTAGTTGTACCTTACAGGTTGTAAAAATAATTTAAAAAAATTAAGGTGTTCATTAGAGTATTCTCGTGCTATACTGAAATAATCTTTCTCCAATGCAGTAGGTACTTATTGATATTTTTATACCAGAATCGCGGATTCGATTAAATGAAATCGATGGCCTTCTAAATTAGTGGCCCGTTTCCAAAGCATCTAATTCCGCGTTTCCCACTTGGTGGGTCGCGAACCGGTACCGGGCCATCAAAATAAAATACCATGTCGTGACACTCGCGCCTTGTTGAAGTGGAACCAGATCTCAGGACAAAACGTTCGTCATTTTCCGCGAACTTGGATTCTTTAGTAAAGAATAAGCAGCAACTCATACCTCATACCGAAATAATACTAGTAAAACGTTTTTACTAACAAAAAATATGTATTATTTTAGTTAATGTAACCAGATTGGGTTTAAAAGTTTTGAGCGGGTCATGAGTAAGCAGTATGGAAATTACCGGGCCATGGTAGAACAATGTGGGGGAAACACTGATCTAATTCATCAGGCTTAAAATACTGATAAACGTCTGCCGCTCTAAATAGACGCCCTAAGTGTACCTACTTCGCGTGCCCAATGTAAGTTATAAACGCTTAGACAGTTATCGTAGTGAAACATCAATCGAAAACGCGAAAAATGCCTAAATTATGCCATTACAAACTGCAAAAACACCACATCTGTGAGAAGATAAGTAAACAGGGACGTTTCCTTCTACAGTTATTAAGTAATTTTGTAATCAGAATATGCACAATTTATTTTAAAATCAATTACTTTCATATTTAATGAATTTTGAGAAAACAAATATGCAAACGAGTGTATACCGCGTAATTCGTAATACATTGCGGCTTTTACTTGGTGAGGTACACTTGTGGTCCGTCTTTAGGAGACTATGAATATTCGGCCGCTTCGTCATGTTTTTGGTCAAATTTTACGATTAGCGATGTTCACTTGATGCGATACAGTTCTTGATTCTGATCCATTTAGGAAACAAAGGGATGATAATTCTTAAGGCCTTAGAAAACGTTATAAAAATATTCCATAAAGTTTGTTCTTTTTGTTTTAATTTTCAATCAAAACACATACTGATAAAGGATACGTATTGAGAAAGGAAGGAAGGAAATTAGGAAAGGAAGGATAGTTATTATAATAAGTTATTAACCGACTTCAAAAAAAAGGAGGTGGTTCTCGATTCGACTGTATGTTTTTTTTTGTATGTATGTTACGCGATAACTCCGGTATTTGTGAACCGATTTTCATGATTTTTTTTGTTTGAAAGAGGGTACCTCCATAGTGGGCGCATTTAATTTAAAAAAAAAATCATCTACCTCTAAGGTTGGCTGTTCACGCATGAAGATTCGTTTTTATAAATAGCGCCTAAATTTTATTATAAGGAGCAATTATTTTAATGGCTGATTTTGCTATTCTCCAATTCAAGGCGTTTTTCTCTCTCAATATAGTTTGAGTTGTGAGAATCGATTTTTATTATCTCCAGGGTCAAGTCCCGTATAATGGCAAACTAGGGGATGAATCCGGGTTTGCACACTTTCCGGTAACCGATTTCAATAAAACTTGGTAATTATATGTAATTCGACGTACTTCTGAGGTCGGTTTTTTTAGTGATTATTATATTCATCATAAAGTAGCGATTCTAAAACGAATCTGTCGCATCACTCAAATGGTATACATGTGGTACGCACGTATCATTTGAGTGACGTCATCTACATTGTACGAATGTATATAGACGGTATTAAAACGTATCAATGTAGGTTATACTTACGATGCATATCCTGGATTCGAGTGTCGCGCCGAGATTAACTTTTGAAAAGATGATCTTATCTTTAGAGTAGTAGAAACCAACTTCGTTCAACTGTAGGATGGGCGGCGAGAGAGGTTCGGTCTCGGGAAACCGGAGCACTACTTCTACTTCCTTCTCTACTGGTTTCAGTTCGGGACTGTGGGGAGAAAGACATGGTAAGAAGACAGCTAAATTTAAAAATGCATTGGTCAGTCTTACACTTAAAGTTTAAAAGGAAAACAAACTACAGTGAAAATTCATTAAAATAGTTCAACTTGTCTCATATTTGAATGTATTGCATGTTGTGGGTAGACCAAACAGTGAGGAATAAACCAGTCTAAGTTTTGATTACCGTGCCCTTGTCCCCTATACGTAACATAACATGGCACAGCCGATCAAAGTAAAAAATTCCAGCATGGAATAAATGCTGCAACCGCCGCAACCGTTCAATTTTGAAAACAATTTAACAAACATCACCTCTGGGAATTTAAGTACGGAATGGGAGAAGTGGAAAAAATCTTTTGACATTTACTACGAAGCATGTGAACTTTCGGGAAAAAGTAATAAAGTGCAAATTAACATATTGTTGTACGTGATCGAACCTTTACTAGTGTGAAACAATTATTGGAAAGATTTGATGATTTTTTTGTACCGAAGAAAAATTTGGCGGTTGAACGACAAAGATTTTCCAAAAGAAATCAGCTAGAATTGGAATCCGTGGAGCGGTACGACGTACGAGTTTGAACTAAATAAAATAGCGTCAAAATGTGAGTTTAAGGATCTGCGAGATGACCTGGTATGCAGTAGACTGATATGTGGAGTACAAGATGTGGGTTAACATGAACCAGAACCTGACATAAAACTAACAAAAGCTTTGGATATATGCAGGTTAGCTGAATTGTCACGTATGCAAGCTTTGAATATTAAATCTGAAGATCATAGTCTTCCTGTATACGAAGTTGCACGAAGTTCGGATAATTGTGATCTGCATTTAATTAATTGTCGTTATACAAACGAGCGCGCATCCATGTCGCAAGGACATCGCAGATCACCGGCGTCGCGGCACCGGCAAACGAGCGGTTCACGCGCAGTGCGCGTGAGTCATACAACGTCGTCGTCTTGTTCGGGTCGACACTTGTTTCAAAACCGTTCGGGTACATTTTTACATCGCCGAAATCAAGGACAAAGTGTGTCAGAAAATGTATGTGGTAACTGGAAAAATGCATAGAAGGTACGAGTGCCCTGGTTATGGGCAGAAGTGTATGAAGTGTAATCGCATGAACCATTTCGCGAGAATGTGTAGGGGAGTCGAGTTTATGCAGTGGAGGAGGATTCCACCGATCAGGTAATACACCACATTAATAGTTCAAAAGGCGATTGGTTAGCAGAGTTGAAAATAAATAATGGAATAATTAATTTCAAATTGGACACTGGAGCCGATGTAAATGTTTTACCGAAAAACATTTTATATAGAATTAACCTATCAGAGCGAGATCTTAAAAGTACATCAATGAAATTACGTTATTCAGGTAGTGGTATTCCAGTTATAGGCAAATGTTATTTAAAGGTGTCATTCAAAAAGAATACATATTTTTTGGAATTTATTGTTGTTGATGTAGGGTCACCACCTGTGTTACAACCCTATTCTTTCAAAGTTGTGTACAAACCAGGTAAACATTTATATAATGCGGACACTCTGTCGCGCGCGGTCGCGCCTAACATGTGCGCACCGTCATAGCCCCGAGATCATCTCGAAGCGCAGGCGCAAGTATGTGTTCTTACTGCGGTCAATCCATTGACTGATTCGCATTTCATTGCAATTCAAAAATGCACAAAAAATTATGATGAACTGCAAGAATTGGTGAAAGTGATAAAACGTGGATGGCCGACAGAAAAGCGTAAAGTGAGTGATAGATTAAAGTGTTATTGGGATAGCAAGGATGAGTTGATGGTTAATTTTGGCATTGTCTGGAAGGGGAATAGAGTGCATGCGATATGAAATGATAAAAAACATTGATATTGGGCATTTCGGCATCGAAAAATGCAAACTCAGAGCTCGCGAAATAAAGTTTTGGCCCAACATGAATTCACAGTTTGCAGGATTTCTTATCACAGTGTCAGGCGTGCATGACGTACAAAAGACAAAATACAAAGGAGTCGCTAATACCGCATGAAATACCTAACAGAGCCTGGTGTAAAGTGGGTGTAGATGTTTTTCATTTCGGACAACACTGTTATTCGATAATAGTAGATTATTTTAGCAAATTTATTGAGATATCAAAATTGCAATCAATAACGTCACAAAATGGCATTAAAAACTTGAAAGGTATTTTTAGTAGACTAGGGACTCTAGAATTGGTAATATCTGACAATGGCCCACAAATTTCTTCGAATAGTTTTTATGAATTCGCTCTGCAATGGAAGTTTCAACGTGTAACGTCATCTCCGAGGTATCCTCAATCAGGTCAGGTGGAGCGACCGGTACAAACCATAAAAAATATGTTAAGAAAGACGTCATATGATCAGACGGATTTTGATTTAGCAATCTTAGAATATTTGAATACTCCAATAAGTAATGAGATAGCTTCACCGGCAGAATTGTTATACAATAGGAACTTACGTAGTATACTTCCATGCACACCTACTTTGTTATCAATGTAAAACAAAATATTTGTTATAAATTACAAATTCGTCAGCAACAACAAAAACATTACTATGATAAAGGATCGAGAGATTTAAAGCCTTTGTTTAAAGGACAGAAAGTTAGAGTTAGACAGTGTTGGGCGTTAATGAATTAAATTTCAATCAATAATTCAATCAGATTAAAAAATCAATTCAATTGAAATCATTTGCAATTGATTTTAATTGCAATTGATTTCAATTGAATTTATTTTAATTGCAATTAAAATCAATTCCGGCCGGTTGGGGGGCCGGTCGGGGCGCCGGTCGGGGGGCCGGTCGGAAGGCCCGTTAGGGGGCCGGTCGGCAGGCCCGTTGGGGGGCCAGTTGTTGGCCCGGCTGGGGGGCCGGTTGGGGTACGGTTGGGGGCCGGTTGGGAAGCCCGAACGGGGGGCCGGTTGGGATCCGGTTGGGGTGCCGGTTTGGCACCTATTGGGGGGTACGTTGGGGGCCGGATGTGGGGACAGTTGGAGGCCCGCCCGGGGCCCGACTGGGGCCCGCCTGGGGAGTCGGTTGGGGCCCGCCTGGGGGGTCGGTTGGGAGCCCGCCTGGGGGCCTGTTGGGGGCCCGGTTGGGCCCCAGTTGGGGGCCCCGGTTGGGGGCCCGGTAACAGTGAGGAATAAACCAGTCTAAGCTCGACTGCCGTGTTTGATTACCGTGCCTTCGTACCCTAAACGTAACTATCACAACTAAATAGAACTTATATAAAGCCACGCTCTGCTCACGTCAGATTTAAATTCAACTCTACAATTTAAATCGCAAAGATCTGAGGGGCATTGCCACTGCGCCTGTCACCCTGAGACATAAGTTGACAAGACCCATGTGCCTGTAATTTCAACAGCGCGCTTACCCTTCAAAACCGGAACACGCCGGAACGGTAGTGCTGACATTACTGCTTGGCGGCACATATAGGTAAGATGGCAATACTACCCTAGATCAACTCTTTCACAAAGAGCTCTACCTGCTTACAATAAAAACGGTGTCAAACTCAAATAATTTTCAGGTAAGTTTTTTGTACTCAATTTTAGTGACAATTTTTATTAATTAACTACTAATGAATGTAACATCGTGAAATATCAAAGAATATTTCAGGTTGCCACACTCGAATATTAAATAATACTTCATGGTGATATTCTAAAAGTGTTTATATAAAAAGAATTTTATATAAAAAATTATCACCAAAATTAAGTACAAAAAACTAACCTGAAATTATTTTCAGGTAAAATTTATTTCATAGGTAAGCAAATTACACTTGAAATCGTCACATTGATTAAACTCTCATAATCCACTGAGAAGAACGAGCAAGAAAGTCTAGGGATTGCTCTTGTCAAATAAACTTAAATGGTATGCAGTAGCTTAAAAAATGACGTTTTTAAGTGTAAAAATTTTACTTATGGAATAAATAACTATTTAACTTTGAGTTCGACTTTGACTTGAATGTTTAAAATTGGATTGTTTGCTTCGTTGTTTTTTATTATTTTATTTTTTTACTTTTACTTTGTCTTTTTTTATTTCTTTCTGTATATTTTTGTGTTGTAGCGTTGTAATAAATGAATTGTAATCTATTCTAAATATTTAGTATTATTTCAGGAAGTCAAGGAGTTGCGGTCTTATGAGTTAGAAACCTTTAGGAGTTAGAAACTTATGTACTGGGAGGATCTGTCGCAGATGATAGATATATTTAGCGATAATATTGATTCTTTCAAAAGAAAATTAACTAAAAATTAAAAATAATTAATTAAATTCCTATAGTATTTCTTAGTGTATTCTGTTGCTATCGACTTTAAATTATCTAAGTATGTTAATATGTTAAAAAAATTTTAATTGACTTTGTGATTGTTGTTTTGAAATTACCGTCAACCACTTATGATTGTTGTGTTTACAATGTAGAACACCTAAGTCAAATAAGTAAAAATGTGTTGTGAACGTAATGGTAGTGTTGCTAGCAAATAAATAAATAAATATGGCTTTTGATGTATAGTTTTTTATTGTGTTCTAACGATTCAAGTTATTTATTTTATCTTATATGGTTAAGTCTATGTGTACTCACAGCTTATCAAGCATCTTTATTTTGCTCTGCACTGACGAGGCTCGATTGGCGTTGTATCGGAACCGGTCGATAAATTCCTGCGTGTGCGCACGGTGCTGCTGCTGAGCTTCGTACTCGCGTTGTTGATTCTTCAACTTTTCGGTTTTTGTCTTGTGAAATTGCTCGTAATTACCCCTGTAGACAATCGTTACTTTGTTAAACATTTAGGAAAACAACATGGCATCCATCACATCAGCACGCTGTTCGTTAGCATTTGTCTTATGCATATAATAATAATAGCACACAATAACACAAAATGCCTTCTTTTAAATATGTCGTTTCATACTTTTGACAGCCTTGGTGGCCAACGATTTGCACTGTGAGACCAGGGTTCGATGTCTATATAGACACTCTATATGGAAGCCACTCTGGAGAGCTCCAGAGTAACTTCCATTGCTCTGCTACCAATAATACAGAGTTCCCTGGTCTGAGACCAGGTCATTGACGTAGTTTTCCGGTTTTTATATACTAAGATTTATGATCGCGTGCGCCCGCTTCCCCCTTGCGAGACCGCGCACTTCTAATACGACCTTGACCGTGCAAGTGCCTTCATATCAAAGCGGATTATTTACTCATTTATTATATAGCAAAACTACCCCATTTAACGGTTTGCAGTCAACCCCACCTTCCTGTATATTAATAATTCAGTTACGAAACTAGTAATATACATGCAATTCTAAACTAGAACCGAGAATTTTAACGTTTATTCAATGCGCTTCGGGCAGTAGAGTAAAATTATACTCCATCCAACTATTTATTTAACTTTTGTCAGCTCGAATTCTAATCAATTAGTGATGTCCTAATGCGTTTCCGATTCGATTTTTTATAATAATCGATTTTATTTATGAAGAAGTTTTAATCGTGAATGTAAGCGAGTTCCAAAAAGAAGATTGACTGATTGGAACTGCGATGTTGCATTTGACAATATGTATACTCATGAATTAATAATTAATGTTAATGGGAATTCAAGTGATGATTCCCGTTCATAAGGAGGAGCATCCAATGGTTCATTATAATAAACAATAAGAATTCATTATAATTTATTTAATTTCATTATAAATGGTCTTCGTTACATAATCTGTTGGCTCGATAAATATCAGAGCAAAACTTCACTAAAATTAAAAAATAAAAGAGTCCAGGAAGTATTGCTTTTCTTTGTCTATGGTTGTATGTCAATAATTACGGAACTTCAGAGGCATGCATACGTCATAAGTTAAATAAATGCTTGGACGGGGTATATCCAATTTAGCAAGATATCGCGCTCATTGGCATGGAAGATTGGCATAAGTGGAAATACGTCAAACATGTTTATTGCTCCATTAGATACAAAAAAAATACCCACATTCTCTACTTAATAGGAGAGGATGTTGGTTATATTTTTCTGTATCTAATGGAGCAACAAACATGTTTGACGTAATTCCACTTATGCCATTCTTCCATGAGGGGCGCGATATGTCGTACTCAAATAGACGGAGCTCATTCAATTTTTAGTCACTGATATTTTCCTTTGTTTCAGAAAACCCTGATGTAGATTTTCAATGCAGAATTCCATCCTGAACTTTTGGTCACACATTCTTTTAGCTAGTTAACACCTATCAAAACCCTTAAACTTGAACATTTCTTAACTCCATGTTCCTTTAAAGTAATCTTACCTATAAGTGTCTATCCTTTGTGTGTGTAAATGCATTATATCTGTAGGTACTGTGTCGAGGAAATTCCGGTCGTGGGAAACAACAAGCAGTGTTGTCGGCCAGTTCTGTAAATAGTTCTCTAACCAGATGATGGCTTTTATGTCCAACATGTTCGTCGGTTCGTCGAGAAGCAAAAGGTCCGGTCTGAAATAGAAAGAGAGCGAAGAAAGTTAGGGCAGTTAAATAACCAATCACAAGTTTAAAAAGGCATGAGTACATTGTATAGGTCCAACTGCGGGGCAAGAGGTTTCTTAATTATAATGAGGTTTCCGGTTGGCCCTAGTGCTTTTAAGTAATTCTCGTGTAAACTGATAAAAGGCACACTTTGATATCCATGTTTAGATAATTTTTCTGCTACCTTAGAAAATTTATAGTGTTCCCCATGTTTTTCTTTCATAAAACAACAGATATGTATTCTAAATGAGCAAAGGAGTATTCTACTTACTTTATTATTAATAATATTAAGTGACGGGACGAATAAGTCGTATGCCTGGTGGTAAGCAACACACCTGTCCCTAACAGGTGCTGTGCCACTCAGAGCTTTAAATTACAAAGATCTGAGGAGCACTGCCACTGCGCCCGACACCCTAAGACATAAGTTGACAAGCCCTGAGTGCCTGTAATTTCACCAGCACCCTTACCCTTCGAAACCGAAACGCAGTAATGTTTACATTAGTGCTTGGCGGCACAAATAGGTAGGGTGGCAGTACTTCCCTGGACGAACTCTTAAACTCTTACTTCTACTGTAAAAGTTACATACTTTGAGAAGAGGGCTCTGGCCAGTGCAAGCCTCATCCTCCAACCTCCAGAGAAGGTCCTAGTAGCGCGGCCCTGCATCTCCGGCGTGAAGCCGAGACCGCTGAGGATGATGGACGCCCGAGCCGGCGCCTTGTCGGCCTCTATGTTCTCCAGTTGTCCGTACACCTCTGTTAACTCTGATGATAGATTCGGGTCTGTTGATCTACAGAAAAAAAATTCACTCAAAGCTACTGTAATAACAACTAAGTTCATGCAATCAAGGCGGTAATATATATAATAGTAATTCAATAAAGTCCTAAAACAAAAGAAGCATAAACGTGATAAGATGGAGAACTGAAGTTCTTGAGAGCTGCTGCACTCACATCCATTACAATCAATGAAAATAAACAAAAAATTTTCACAAATTTCATAATTCATTGTGTTTGTCTTCATACCTTTGCTTCAGAAAAGTATAGACAGTGTTGTGTGTCATCAAAATGTGGAAACTTGCCTACTCAGTTTGATACTTAGGTTTGATACCATTTTATTTTTCTGATTGGAGAAGCTGCTCATTTAAACATAAAATTATTTTAGTGGTCTTCTATTTTTTTTTCATTAATTTAATGTTTTATTATAATATTATGACGACTTCTATGGACGAGTGGCTTACACACTGACTTCTGTGGGCGAGTGGCTTACACACTGACTGACTTAAGAGATGGCGACACCATCAGGCCATCTCTTAGGTCCTGGGTACGATCCCCGGCTGGGTGAATGTAGAAAAACTAACTTCTATATTGTCTCAGGTCTGGGTGTTTATGGTACCATAGTTGTTTCCGATTTCCATAACACAAGAGCTTTAGTTACTTACTTTGGGATCAAAGCAACATATGTAATGTTGTCAACATTGTAATATTTATTTTCATGTAACATACTCGAACAGAACATACCCATTATTAATAGCGGTAGTAATCTCCTTTTCCCGTTTCAGCAAATTTTCTCTAACAGTATCACATTCTAATACGCTCTGTAATGCCAGAGTGTCATCTCCCACCACCTCTTGTTCAACATGCAGTATGGAAATATGTGATGGTATCTTCAGTTGCCTTGATGCAATCATCCTAAGGAGCGTGGTTTTACCTAAACCATTACGCCCGACCAGACCATAACGTCTACCACATGCTAGAACAAGATCTGCACCTTGTAATAATACTCTGAAACAAGATAATACATTGTATTTCTTTGTCAAGCAAAAAATGTATCAAATGCTGAAAATATGTGAAACTGTAAACAGAAGTGGCAATAGTGGTGCTACACGCCAAGTAAACTGATGAAAAATTCTTACCTATCACCATAAGCAATATCAAAATTCTCTATCCTAATGTCCTGTGTTCGGTTTGTTCCCTTAGCTTCAAGTTTGTTGTCTTTTTTTGATGTAACCTGGGATGCCGTGGCAGTCTGCAGAACTGGCACCACTACTGGGACCTTAGCTTCTTTCTGTTTCTGTTGCTTTTGTTGCAGTTTTGCTTCTGCTTTTTCTAATTTCCTGGCATCCACTTTCTGGAAATCAAAAATTATAATAAGTGTTATGCATTTTACAGAGTGTAAAAAATAAAATCATACATAACCCATGGTAAATAATATATAAGTACAGTATACTTCTACATTTACTATATCTGCTAACATCACTGGTAGCAATTGCTTGGTGCAAAAGGTTGCCTGTTGTATATACTTTCAATGTATATTCAGGTTATTCATATTTTATTTTCTGTATTATGCAACACCGTATTTTGATATGAATTTAATTCTGTATATAATGTAGATAGAAATTGAAATTTGATGCGGTGCTACAAGATAAAAGGTAAGTCTTCTAACAGTTGATATGGATAGAAAAAATTCCCTCTAGACACTTTTGCAACCGTAGTTCGCAACCAGTTTTGAATGAGGATTTTCACTCTTTGATCGCAACTAGTTGGCAATCAAGAGTATTATTTCTTCACACGCAACCAGATTTGTCTAATAAAATATAAATCATAAAAAATCTACAGTCTTGATTGGCAACTAGTTGTGATCAAAGAGTAAAAAATCCCCATTTGCAACTGATTGCGTGCGAACTTTCATTGTGAAAGCGTCTGGAAGGAAAAATTATGTATATTTACCAGAGTATCATCCCTAGTTTGTAGCCATATACTTTTGAGATCATCCGTTTCAGTGGGTGCAGACATTGAGGCCAAGTGAATCGGAGCATCAAGAACTTTTCGAGGTCCATTATTTGTGGATGATTTGTTGGGTTGCAGCATGTGGAGTAGCTGCTCACATATCTCCCTGGAAGGAAAGAATCTTATAATTTTCTATACTTACATCTAAATCATATATATCATAAAAACTAAATATGTGCTATTTTTATTTGAAATAAGATTTGGATAAATATAATTCCATTTAATGTTAGTGTTACACCCCACACCCACCCACACATATAGGCTGAATCAAGAAAGAAAATCAAGCTGAGTTCAAAAAGTAATGATAATAACGCACACACTCAACAAAGCACCGCTAGGGAAACCCTGTGTCACGGGTGCCATGGACACACACATAGACAGCCACAAATTACACCTAAACTCACAAGAGAAATAAATGTAGGCCATACAAATACTCTGCGGGGCAGTCTAGCATGATAACCGTTAGCTACTTAAACAGATATAGTTTTTATAATATAATTACAAGGGGTGTCTCTTATATTATGCGCAGATTATCACTTCAATATTTTTAACAAAATTCACATAAAATCAAGGTTACTTTGTTTATTACTATCTATGAATGGTTCATACCTTATATCATCCTCGGATTTTTCCGATATCCCCTGTAGTACTTCGCCGACAGCTTCGTACACTTCTTCTGTGTCCTCGAATTCGCCCGCACTGTTATCCAAAATATCTGTAATATCAAGTCAATGGCGAATTTCACAACGTGGTCACACCTTGTCATAAAAGCGGCGTGTGAGAATTCGTAAAGATTGTTATAAATTAAAAAATTTAGCTAACTTTCAGTTACTTTAATGCCTCACTGAAATAGTCTTAATTCCACAAAAAGAACAACAATATATCACGATCATAACCTAGCACTTACCTTCGACATATTTTTTTAAGTCCTCATCAATTAATGGAAATTGACTTTTAATAAATTCACCACATTTAGCCATGTTGTATTTACTAGGTAAATTGGCTTTTAAAAGAATATTCTTATCGTTATCATTTAATTTTGAAAATCAACAAAAGTCCTCCGTTAATAGCTCGATGTCACGTCACTATCACATCAAGCTGTCAAACTCAGACAGGGATATCAGCATTTCAAAATAATGTATTTTATTATTGGTCGCCCCCAGACATATGCCTGTGGGGTCACCAGCAACCGGACTTGGTCCGGTGATTTCTATACGATGGAATAAAAAAAGTTAACATTATTGTCTATTCTGTAACATTCACTCAACCTACAATCTACAAAATTTTATTCAAAGAGTAGAATAATACATTTTATTATTCCGTCTGCGTGAACTGATCCTTTGTTTTAGGTCGATTTTCTTAAATAAAAATATTTTTATTTATATATATGGTTTTAAGCAATCGGTGTTACATAACGAACTTAGAATTCTTAAAAAAAGCATTTTTTGGGCACAACTTAAACGTAAACATGAAATGTTGATAAACTGTGTTTTTTCTATTTGTGTAGTTGGAAAACGCTCCTTTAAAATGAACCCAAATATGAATGACAACAACGTTACTGTTTTTGCAATATTAGACAATCACTGTAAGTTAAATATGGAATTGTTTTATTAACAAAAGAATTTCCTTGTTTTGAGCTTCATTGTTCTAATTTTTTTTGTTGTTATTGCATATGGTGGAACGTCGTCTGAATACAAAACCAACTTAAACGTAAACTATTCCATACAAAATATTGAATCAAATATTTCGAATCAAGATGAAATAAATGGGAATGAAAGTAATAAGCAAAGTGAGTAAATTTTAATATTTAATTAACATATGTTACATATATAGACTATGTTAACGGTTTATACTTTATTTTTAATATTATGCTTTATCTGCAGATAAAATTTGGACTAAGAATGCAACGCTTATGCTTTTAAGTTTGTATGAAACAAAAATACACATGTTGGAAAATCCAAAGAAAAAATCTAAAATGTGGACAGCAATTGCAGAAGAATTAAAATCTTTAAACATAGAAGTAAGTTAATTGACTGCAAGTATCTGTTACCGAATGGAAAATGCACAAATTACATTTGTATAATAATCCTTATTTTTACAGGTAACTTCAGATCAAGTTAGATGGAAAATAAATGCACTCACAAAAAGATACAAGGATTGTGTTGATAATGGGCAAAATACATCAGATTTTAAATATTTTAATGAAATGCACCAAATTCTCGGACGCTACAATGACGACACTGGCACGTACAGACTAGCATCAGGTGTACAGAGAGATACAGAGGTAGTAAAAACTAAAACACTCAAGGCACCTTTTAGAAAATTAAGGGCAGAAAGACGAGCTAAAGTAGAACTTGACAAACAATGGATGGAATATTTAAAAAAACAAGATGAACAAAAGCAAATTCGAGATGAAAGGCTTGAGAGGAGTCTAATATTAAGGGAAGAAAAATTACAGCTCCGAAAAAAGGAATTGGAGCTTAAACAAAATTTAGCTTTAAAAAAACTGCAACTAAAACAAAGAAAGCATGAAGAACTTCTTAGAATAGAACGAGAAAAATGTGAATTACTAATGAAATTGCTAGATAAGAATAATAAATTAACGAGAATTCTCGAATGAATTATGTCGATGATCCACTAGATGGATCCGTCGTGGATTGATTTTTTTTTAGTAAAATAAGTTTTCATTTCTCTTATAACCTATAAATCATAGTCTTCCAATATTTTGCTGTTCATTATCAGGTACTTGATCATTTTCATTAACACAATAGTTATGAAGAATACAAGCTGCTACAATAGTATCTGTTATAAAGGCAATATTTCTATAAACTGAAAAATATTTTATTCGTTTAAAGCGTACCCGTAATGCATTAAATGCTTTGTCTCTAAGTTTTCGAGCATTCGAGTGCATTGCATTGAATTCCTTTTGTGAAGACGTCAGTCGTTTATTTTCCCGAAAAGGCGGTATTATCCATGTCAATAATGGATATCCTGAATGACCGATGAGAAAAGTATTTTGCGGAAATAATGCGCTTGCATTCTGGCAGGCAGTATTGTACAAAGGTGATTTTTTCAATACACGGGCACAATTCATGGAACCTGGTTCCCCACAGTATATGTTTGTAAATTTCAAATTAGCGTCTATCGTTGCTTGTAAAATAATTGAATAATATCCCTTTGAATTGCAATACTCTGTTGCATTTTTAGGTTTCTCTATCTTAACATGCATACAATCTATAACCCCTAACATGTTTGATATCCTAGTTTTAGTTTCAAATGCATCACATATTGATTTCATTTCATTTAAGTCCTTTGGCCACTTAATAACATCGTTTAATTTTGTCAATAGCCAAGCAACAACTCTTCTAATAACACGAAAGGTTGAAGATATTGAAATATCAAATCGTGTTGCTATTGGTATCAATGTTTCTGTACTTGAGATGAAGGACAAAAATATGTAGAAGCATAGTTTCGGTTCCAAGGGTTTTAAGCCGAATTTATGAGATGCAATAAATCCGGAACTTTGCAGTTCATCTGAAACAAATTATGTCTTAGAAAATAAAACATTTTGCTATTGATGTTCATCTACCTGTATCTTAATAAATACAACTTACATACCAATAAGCTGGTATGATGTGTTTTTAGATAATCCGAGGCGATTTTTGAATTCTAAGTCTGTCCAAGAATCTACAATATGTAAATAGTCATCCACTCGCTTTTTACGAAGCCTTATTAAATATTGCATCAGAGGGAAAAATAGTTTGTCGTCGTCATATTCTTCGCTATCGTTCTCTGAAGTATCGGCATCACTTTTGAAAACATCACTCCAACCACTTGATTCATCGTCGCTACTTAAGGCTACAGTTTCAGCTAAACCAATTAGAACTTTGTGATCGGTCATTTTTGCAATATTATTTTAATACATAACCTAATTAATAACTTTAGGTTTATCATTACAATGACACCAAAACAAATAATAGTAGTCCAGTTCTATTGAGTTCTACCTGAGGCGTGCACTGTGAGTTTGGCAAAAAGCACAGACTGTAGATGCTAACGCATGCAAGAAGTATACACAGACTATTAGATGCTAACGCATACAAGTATACAATAATAAATTATCACGCAATCAAAACAAAACAATGTTTTTTTTTTAATAATAGTTTTGGCTTGGATACAAGTCCTTTGAGCTATGTCTTCGTTTAATTATCGGGATCCTCCGTAATATTTCCCATTGTAGTTCTAAATTCTAAAACTTTTCACTTTCTCCTAATTCACTTATTTGGGTTTATTAAATAGACCTTTTAAGCGGCGGGAGTCAATATTTATGTTTCACTTTCACATAGATCACATTATCTTCTATCACTTTGAATAATAAATTTGAATTCATATTAGTGGAATTTTCAGAATAGTCTTTTCTAATTTGGTTTAAAATAAGGCATATAGTTCCAACTTTCTCCATCAATATTTCTTTCTTCGTTTTTTCTCCATAATATACTTAAAATAAAAATAATCTTTGTAAACTCTGTACTCGTAACTTCAAAAACCCGCCATTTTAACAACAAAATAATGTAATACATTTTATTGAAGAGAAGTGACAATAGATTCAAAATTCAAGGCATCTGCAAGCGTTGTCTATGATGCGTTCCTTCCTTCGTATACATACTTACAAGTAAGTACGTCATATATTTTATAAGTGGGTGGGTTCTATGATGTTGATTTTTAGTTTTCTAATAAAATAATATTGTTTTCCATTTCATTTATTTTTATTACATGTGATGGATTAGATTATATTTACACATAAAAAAAAATCGTTAATACTACGGCATGGTCTATTCTATGGTATAAAATGGATGTCAAAATTGTCAAATAAACATCAAAATAATCAAAACAATTATTACTATAATACTACCGTACATAGTTATTTATACTTGACATTGGCAAAATCATTGATTATTTCGATGGAGCCATAATATTTAAAAGAAGAAGAAGAAGAAGAAGAACCTGTGTTATAAAAATGAATATGGACAATGTTGTTGATACTTGTAAGTAGTAAAATAAATATAATTTATCTTGAATCATTACAATTTCGTACATTTTTGCATTTTGATTTTATTACAGTACAAGAGGATCCTGCTGAAGTAGGATGTCAAAATAAGTCACAGAATACACACATTAAACAAGAATCTAACGTTGGAATAATCTTGGGCACAGAAAAACAAAGTAAAACCTAGTTTTGTTTCACTAAGTACTTACACATACTACCCTATATTATCGTTACTTCATGTAATTATGTTGCAGGCGCAGCCTGGACAAACAAAGCCACTTCAATGCTTCTGAAATCTTATGAAGAAAAGCTGGAAATGTTGGAGACACCAAAAAAGAAAACCAGAATTTGGATTGCAATAGCGGACAGCTTAAAAGAGCATAACTTAGAAGTGAGCTTAATTATCTATCCCTACTTTATACCTAATAGTAATAATACGAATTTAGTTTCAGAATATTGCATTAATTTGTTTTTCAATAAATTATGTGAATGCTTGGTAAATTTATGAGTCACATTTCAGGTGACACCAGATCAAGTCAGGTGGAAAATTAATGCATTGGCCAAAAAGTACAAACAATGCCTAGATAACGGACAACACAATAAATTTAAATTTTTTGGTGTTATGGACAATATTTATGCTCAATATAATGTTGATTGTGATTCATATAATTTACACAATCCAGATCTTAAAGAATATAAAAAAAGTATTCGAAAAAATCAAACAGAGCATCACTCAGACAATGTGACTACATCTTTAAAAGCTGTTCAAGAAAGCAGAGTTTTAACAGAGTTAAGAAAGAGGAGATTGGCTAGAAGAATAGAATCTGAAAGATCTCAGAGCAAAATGAACTTAGAAAGACAATGGTTAGAATATTTGAAAAGACAAGAATTGCAAACAAAATGGAGAGATGACGTTTTTGAGAAACATTTGAAATTGAAGAAAGAAGAATTAGAATTAAGAAAAAAAGAGTTGAAAATTAAGGAAACACTGGAACTACAAAAGTTAGAGGTACAGAATAAGGAACAAGAGGAAATGCTACAGATAGAAAAAGAAAAATGTAAATTATTAAAAATAATTATATTGAAATAAATGGTGTGGTTGAAGCGCTTTTTCTTAAAACTACTCACTAAAACTGTAATTAGCTGTAATTAAATATCATTGTAACAGATAAAATCACGTAACATAGACGTACTATATGTTGCCCTTTGTTCAATGACCCGTCAATTTTAAAAAGTGCATAACGCATTCTAACGTCCATGTTCTAAACCGACAAAAGCATGCCGTAAACAAAACAAAAACTTTTTAAATTTCGCCTTGCACAGAAAGGATGAAATCAAACAGTTGAAAAACACAATTACAAATTTTACTTTCCTAAGCTAATAACAATTGTCTTTATGTAATAAAAGATTACATTTCATACAATATGAATTTATAATCCGGTCATAGGTAAAGAGATATCATGATCCGAGTTTTTGAGATTTTAAGTTCTTTTTCTTGACCGTATGTCGCGGTTTATTTAAGACGGGCACTGCTGAAAGCTTATTTCATATTTACTTATTAAGCATTGGCTCCATCAGTTTAAAAAAGGTAAAAATACTTAAGAAACTCAAAATGTATTAACACAATAAAAATTAATTCATTTGAAGAATTAACTGTAAAAATAAAACCCCGCCATTTATTTTCAATTCAATTAGGTACGTTCAATTCATCTAAAAGTGGGCATTCATGATCCTGCATTGCAGTCCACCGCGTATGTCGCAGCGTGCAAGCCATCCTGCGAGATTTCATACGTGGGCCATACGCAGGATAGCGTGTGAGCTGTCTCCTGCCTGCGCCGCGGACTGCCATGCAGGTAGTGAATGGGCCGTTTAACTAAACATTTTTTGTAACTGATTTAGTCGTCGGACTTTATATTTGTAAGATAATGTATAGCGAACTACATTAAAAAAATAGTTTAGTCTGTGACCCAGCCTCAGTGATACCAACATTATGAATCCCGCCGCAACGCAAAATTCTATCATAATCATTCAATTTTTCTAAAATTTTGTTGTTTTTATATTGACCATGGCGGATATTTACAAGAGATACGAGAAATCTTTGGGTTTACTTACGACTAGGTTTGTTTCATTGCTACAAAAAGCCAAGGATGGAGTGTTGGATTTGAAAGTGGTATGTGTACGCCGCCATCGATCTGTCATGTTAGTTTTAGGCACGAAAAATAAATAATTTGAATGCATTTCCTAGGCAACCGATTTGTTAGCAGTACGGCAGAAGAGGCGTATTTACGACATTACAAATGTTTTGGAAGGTATTGGTTTAATAGAAAAGAGAAGTAAGAACAGTATTCAATGGAAGTGAGTAGATTTTGTTTTGTGTTTTTGTTTGCTGGTATGTAATACTTAGTCGGAAAATGTCCTTTAGGTTCAGTATACAGCATGCTCATCAGCGTCCTAAGTTTTAGTAACTATCAGTTAATGCTTCTATAAAGTATTCTTGCCTGTAATAAACTAAATGTAATAATATAAATTGCCTGTACACATGAATGATTTAATTTTGCAGAGGTGCTGGTCCAGATGGAAATGCGTCGGAAATTGGGGAGAAAGTCACGAAATTGAGGAAGCAATTAGGACGTTTGGAGGAGCATGAGAGACTTCTTGACAAGTAAGTATGTTATGCTAAAGCTGAGCTCTTTCTGCAGCTCGTTTAGTAGCAGTAGAACTCCTTCAGAAGGACATCGTCTGGGAACGTACTGCCACATTACCCATTTCTGCCATTAAGCAGTAATGTGAGCATAACTGTGTTTATGTTCTGAAGGATAAGGGTGGTGTGAAATTACAGGCACATTGGACTTTTTAACCTATGTCTCAGGAAGACGAGCGCACTGGCAGTGTCTCTCAGACCATTGTTATTTATAGCTCTTAATGGCACTGCAACTGTTATGGCCAGGCATGTTATTTGTCACCAAATGCACCACTTGTATGTTCTGTTACTTGGTATCATAAAAAAAGCTCCGAGGCAATTATTACGGCTTGTTAGAATTGGATGGGTGGTTGCAGTTAACAATGTGCTCCTTGGTCAAGAACTAAAGACTGCTAATGTGTAATAGTAAATTGTACAATAAGTGCATAAAATGCATCACTTTACCTGAGACGAGTATATCATAGACGATGATACTTACGTCGAGGGTAAAATGAGTTTTATGAACAAGTTATAGACTCTGGTTCGATTGCGAGGAAAGTAAACAGCAATATTACAAATAAGCAATAACACAACTATTGTGAAGAAAAAGTAAGAACTTTCCGCCAATTTACTACTTTTTTTTCTACATGTGACTCAGGTCTACATAATCCTCAGTTATATTTTACAAGCTTTTTTTTATTTTTTACGCATTTCTATTTCTTATAACTTATTAGATTTACTATTGCCTACTTTTTTACTTTTGTAATATAACATGGATTAAAAAAACAAAAATAAAACTTTATAAAGTTCTAGTGTGCGTAGCTGTTGGCGCAGGCGTCATTGCCTCGGTCTTAAACGCTGATTTTATTTTATGCAGCCTACACCCAGCATAAATACGAACTTTAAGAGCATGAGAAGTGAAAAATATATAATCACCCTTAAGGCTCACTCAGTGTGTCGGCGATAATTCGCGACTGTGGTCACACCGCTTCACTGCAACTTCTTTCTACATGTAGAATTAAATGGCTTAGTGCAGCGTGCCCGCGACTGGTGACCACTGGTCATGAGACAGCTATCGCAAGCCAGCAGCTATGAGTTATCACAAGCCGCTTGCAACTACTACTAGATGATCAATTAACGTTCCTATTATTATTACATAAGTAAGTAAAATTATAATAATGGATCCAGATAGGTTAATTGATGCAGTTCGTAATCGCCGCAGAATATTAAATGGATCATTATTAAATCTTCTTCTTATCCTTCCTTGGCATGGATCCGTAAAACAGAATTTTCCAACAAAAAAAGTTCTGATACTACAATATCCATTTTCCCTGTAGGTACGATAATTATTCGAAAATTCACTAGTACCAGTCGGCCGGCACGCTGTACGGGCCCTTCTACACATCTAAGGGTGTTTTTCTTTTACTAAATTAGTTGGTAGCAAAAATATTGAGTCAAATTTGTCAATATGTTTTGTACATTTACTTCATAATGGTATAATTATATTCCCGCAGATAATTTTTTTTTTTAAATCTACTTATTTTTTATTGAGGCTTTAGTTACCTTGAGTGACTATGTCAGCTTCATGGAAGGAATACTGGGTTCCCTACTCAAGGGACATGTTCAAAAACTTGTACAAGTTTAGAGCTCCAATACATATAGGCTCTCTGAGCCAAAAATTAATTTGTCCATTGCATAAACTTACATTCCTACACATTATACCCCTCAGGGTTACGTAACAGTTACATTCCACTAATACATAATACAGATCCTCTATTTTATTGCAATTAACGCACAATGGGGATGGTTTAAAACCCATCATATGAAAGAATTTATTTATGGAATGTGACCAGAATGCAGCCTAAAAGCCGATATAAGATATTTCCTTGCTATATTGACAGAATAAAACCTACTGTGGATTCCTCTGGATGGTCTGTATCATATTCCAAGACCTTTTTCCACCAACTGTTCTCCGAAATGATATTCTCATTTTTCTAGAGTTCTTAATTAGTGGAATAACCTCAGTAGCATAAGGCGTACAATCGAGTACAGTACCATTTTCAACAGCAGATTTTGCAAGGACATCAACTTCTTCGTTTCCGCGCAATCCCATATGGGAGGGAATCCATTGGAGCTTTAGACACTCACTTCTGTGGTGCAGTAACATTTAAGACATGGAAACACAAGTAGTATATTGTTGTTCTTCTTTGGTCGTATATCCTATATTGCACTTATCATACTAGTTCCATAAGCTTAACATTGACCAGCACAAGTGTCACACTTGCTGGATCTTACTGGCATATATTCATGAAATTTTTAGCTAAGTGAATTTGAAAAGCATGTGGAGCTATCATGACGTTTAATTTCTTTAACATGTAACATCATATTTGTATCTAATCTAATAAACCTAATTCTTAAATCTAATAACTGCCTCGGTGGCCGAACGGTTACCATACCGGACTGCCACGCAGAGGTCCCCGGGTTCGATTCCCGGGCCGGGAGAATTATTTGTTTGGCCTACATTTATTTCTCTCGTGAGTTTGGGTGTAATTTGTGGTTGTCTATGTGTGTGTCCATGGCACCCCCGATGTGATATGTTGAGTGTGTGCGTTATTTATCTATTTCAATAAATTAGTGAATATATTTGTGTTTACTTCAGACAAATGCAGTGGATAGAGCAGAGTATAAAGAATGTAGTAGAAAACACAGACAATGATGAATATTTTTATGTGACTGAAGGTGACATAAGGAAATGCTATGAGGAGGAACAAGTTATAGTACTAGAAGCACCGCTGGGTGCTAAACTTTCTGTAGGAAACAAACAATCCAATAAGGTACAAGTTTTTTGTTTTTTTTCGCTGACATGTAATCAGTCTTTTTATATGATACACATTTTATATATTTTGGCATGTCTCAGGTATACCCTTACAATGTTGGGTTGCCTTTATGTGGAAAACTATTCAGCTCAGTTTGTTGAATCCCAAAGGTACAGGTTAACGCATGAATTACACATGAGTATATATTATATACTTATACCAAAAAGTCGTCAGAAAAATATATATATTATATTTATATATATATTTTTATGGTGACTTCTTGGTATACTTGTTGCTGAAGTGTACTGACATGTGGTGATCCTTTAAAGTGTTTGCATTGATCATGAATAGACAACAAAAAACAAAAGAGCTTTGCTCATTTAAATGACATTCACTAATATCAGACTACGGTATGACTTCTTTTTATTTTCCCGATATTTGCTCATTTAATATTCGCATTTATTCCTCTTATGATTGATTTGTGAACCAATTCTGGTTTACCTGATAGAGATCAAACATGAGTGTCTTTAATTTTTTTTTTATAATATCGTTTAATTGACAATGCAATTGTACAGCAAATTAACTAATGTTTTTAACCCCTGATGCAAAAATTGGTAGCCTATGTCTGTGTATCTGTGTTTACAAGTGGCATCACAGCTCCCAAACTGACCTCGGTGGCTTTTTAATTCTACATGTGAAATAGCTATGATCATTTGTCATTTTTAACTCTTCAACTTCAAAATATTGTGATGTTAGTTGTGAAATTGTAATATGGAACTCTTTGCAAGAGTTGAGATCGAGAAAATATGTTAGCCCAAATGTGTGGCTAATAAATTCTAATAAAACTTGTGTAAGTTTTCAATTTTAATTTTATTATTTTGTTTGTGTCTTCTGAATTCTAATTTTATTGTTTTTCAGGACAATGAAGTACAATACCTGCTCCATGTGAAATCCACTGAACCCGTTGGTGTAATACTATTGTGTGACAATGAAAAAGAAGCAGTAAGCAAAACAATAAATTTCATATGTAGATTTTTAATAGAAAAACATACTAATTAGGAATAAATTCAATTTCAGCAAGCCGACGATGAAAACATGGCAGATAGTGAAGTTGAGAGTTACACAAACAAGAGTGAGGGCTCAACATATGGTGGTAAGCATTTGATTCTTCCAGTTCCAAAATTGGTAGGTTTGAGTAGTTCATAAACTAGGAATTGTTAAGAATGAATTCCCAATAGTAGTGCTTTTTTTTAATGGGACAGTATAGGGAAATCTGAAAACATAGACGATACAAGAAAATCGTTTTAGGAACCATTAAATCTTATGAAAACAATTTTTTTAAATCTATTTTCTAAAATTTGCCTAAAACATTTTGTGAAATTTGACCACTTCTGCTGTACCGATTTTTTTCATCCCATACAATGAAATGATTCCTTCATGAAACTGAGTTGATCAGCACTAAAATAGATTTTCACTAAATTTAATTATTCTGGGCAACTCACATTTGACTAAATAATAGACTGTGCCAAAATTGTTTCATAAGAAACTATTTAATGGTTCCTAAGACGGTTTCCTTGTATCGTCTATGGTTTCGGATTTCATTCTTATCAATTTTTAGTTCCTGAAGTAATCAAACTTACCACTAAGTACCATACAATGTGAAGATAGGTTCCAAATTTGATCAGTTTCATTCATTTTTTTGGACAGCACACGCTTGATAAAAAAAAAAATACTGCCAAAATTGTTATCACAAAAAAAGATTTAATAATAATAATATGTTTATTTCTCCACAAAAAGACGTTCAGAAGGTTCTCAGTAATTTAAGAAACATTAACAGCTTTTGCATGAGCTGGTGCCTGTTAAAGGCTTAACACCTGTACTACAAGTCACCAGGCCCTCACCCTTGGGAATAATACATACCATATTATAGCATTACTAAGAAAAATATTAAACATTGCAAGAGAGAAACAAAATATGAAAAATATAAAATTAAAGAATACTTTTTTAGACATACACTATTGAACTTTAGATAGATGAATTTAATTATAAATTGTACTTTTAAACTGAAAGTAAAACTTAAATTTAAAATGAGTGTGTGCGTGTGTATGTGTTTTTATGTGCGCGCGTGTGCGTGTGTGCTTGTATGTGCCTGCGTACGCGTGTATATGCACGTATAAATATATGGTAATCCTATAGATCAGCAAAACCTTGAGTCACACTTTGGATGAAGGATCTACAGTTTATTATTATTTGGATTTATTATATATTATTTATTATAGTCACTATTATCCTTCACTCTTGAATACATGTTGTAAAGGGATTTGGCATGGTGTTTTATGACCGGCCGACTTATATTATATTATTTTTTTATTTGGAGTTTATTGGAGGATTTACAGTTTCCTTGTATTTTCTAGGGTTTCGGATTTCCCATACTGTCCCCTTTAAAAAAACACTATAGTTATTTGTGGTCGGCTTTTTTCTTCTCGTACCCTCTGCATAAAGGGCTGTCTGTGATACCTAAATTAAAAAAAAATGTTACGTGGCCCCGTTAAAGCGGCAGTGTGTATTCTTGCTTTTTAATCTCATCTAATACTCGTCTTTTGTTTCAGATTATCTCCTTAGATTGAGTCCTCCTGTCACTAAACAGGACTTTTCTTTTTCGTTACGTGGCTCGGAAGGATTATGTGATCTTTTTGATATTCCTTTTTAAAACAGTTTTTCTACGTTTTTTGTTTAAGTGAGAGCATTTTTAAGACATTTTTATGTATTTTGTGATGAATCATGTTAGACTATGTAAATAAATCATGTAAATAACATTGAAAAATTTATAATTACATAGACATGGAATGTGATGACTGATGAGAAATAAAAGCTATCTTTATTATTAAAATAGTAATTTAATTCTTAGACTTAGGATTGGATATAAATCTATCAAGGACTCCAAAAGACTCTTTTGGCATTCTCGGTTTCTTTTCTTCCACATCTAGTAATTTCTTTGCTTCTATTGATTGTTCAATGAACTCCTGAAACGTAATTTCATTATTACATATAAATACATGCATACAGTCATCTGTTAAACGACAACATATAGACAGAACTCCATGTGAAGCATCGCACCCATACTAAACGAGTGTCTTTTATACTGACTTGATGCATACTATACATTTGGAGCTAAAGTGTACTGATATTACTTCATCTAAAACAGACGTTTTCATAGACGCAGCATTGAAGCGTGCTGACAAGTGAACAGGGACAAGAACACATCAAGTGTCGCGAACGTCTTGCTTTTTTATACTATGCTATGTTTCTATTTTTTATTTGTTGCTTTTCAGTTGAATGTCGTATGGTGTATTTTTTATTGTGTTTCATATTATAAGTAATTGTGCTCATTTCATTTCCTCACTCCCGTCCCTACGGTCCATATCGTCCACTTCAAGCTTGAAACTAAAGAAAACAAAATGATCCAAAGTGTCAAGCTTGATTTGCTCTTGACTTATATAGTCAGTAACTGAAGCACGTAACTTTATTATCAATCACAATATAAAGTTCGATAGGTAATACCTTTCTAGCTTGCTCCTTTATAATTTTCTTCCTTGCTATATGTGTTTTGCCCTTGTTTTTGTGTCTAGGCGTTAAGTCCACTATCTTTGGTTTGAGATACTGTAATAAGTTAAAAAACATTAATTTTGCATTGTAACTTGGATGAGAATAAATTTATTTTGGGCCAAAATTGACAGTAGACGAAATTAACTCTAGAATTCAGCAATGAGTCTCCAGATAATGGAAACCACCTAAGATTTGAAGTGTCATACCAAAAGTTTCTTCTTAGCCTCCATCTGTTCCTTCAAAGACGGCACGTCGACTTCAGTTATTTCAAATGGATTGAGTGTAATAAGTTCAGGAGGAATTTTCTCGAGGAGAGCCTTGACTTCTGCTTCCCTTCTTTGGCTCTTGGTCTGGAATGGATTACTTTCCAAAGCATCAAAGTTGGGTTCTCCACTTCCTGAAATTTGTAAGAGCAATTATAGTTGTTTTAGGCTAATTTTTTTGTGTGTGTTACAAAAGGAATAGTAAGTAAGGCACGAAACCGGTTCTCGCACACGTTACTGAATATAAATAGTTTTGAATTTGTTAATGTCCGCAGGTGCCTTACTTGTAACAGCTGTAAGCTTCACCACGAGTATACTTGTAAGTGTGCACGTGATTTGCCCAAGTTTGCTTGCGTTGAAGACCAATAGGTAGACTTTAGTTTTACAGTGTAAGAGCTATTCAAAACTTTGGATTTTAACAATGGGTTATGCTGAAACAATGATCTCTACGAGAAGCAGAAGCTGATTCGAGAAATAATACAATATTTCAAATTTATAATGTTCTTTACCTGGCACAATAATACTAGTGAATCCACTGCTAGTGCCGACGCCTAGAACGTCTTCATATGGGCAGAATTTAAAGTTGTTTATACTTTTTGCCATTCTATGCCTCAAGTAAGGCTTTTCTGTAGTCTGTGTACAACAGTTACTGAAAAATAAATTAAATGAAATAAAAAGCAAAAGACAAAATCTTGACTATTGTTGGCAATACGAACATAACATATTTATAGTCTATTTAAAGTATCTTACTTGTATATCTCTACAACTTCTCCGAGGCCAACAGCAAGCATATCTTTCTGTGAGAATTCCAAATCTTGTGGGGCTGTTCTTAATTTGTAATGTTGTAGAGGTCCATCGAGATTTCTGATGTCCCAAATTTTGAGGCTTCTGTCTACACCTGATGTTGCCATGTACCTGTAACAGGTACAGTGTAACATCACATGCATAATATTCATCATGCTTGTCTTTCAAATGACAGAATGTACATACTTACTATGATACTGTTAAGGGTCCAGAGTATGTCATCAAATATTTAAGGCATTTTGATATATGAAATATTATCAATCCAAAAAAAATCACATAATTCATGTTAGTACTCACATTCCTCTACTATCAACAGAAATGGCAGTCAATGGTGTTTTGTGGCACAGAATTTTCGCTAAAGGTTCCCTGACAGTCGGTGACCACAAAGAGACCACTCCTTTGGAATTGCCCAAGCAAATTGTGGCATTGTAGGGGTTTTGGGCCATTACTGATGTTCTTCCTAAATGATTGTTGTAGTGCCCTACTATTTCACCAATGGAAATGTCAAGCCATGTCATAAAACCGTATTCATTCTGTAATAAAGTGTTTGTCAATTAATAGAAATTCTTAATATAATTATTCTCAATCGCAGTCGCAACTCCATTATATTAGTTAATTTTTGTAATACGCATAAGTACTTTGGTATCATGATCAGTTTCGCCATTACACGTTATGAGATAATTATCTTGATAGAGAATGATGACCTATGACAACATGCACTCCATTACTCCATGAGTTGACATAGTAATTACAAAAAGTACATCATAAAGAAACTAACCACACCAGCCAACAAAAAATGGTATGGCAAAAATTCCATTCTCAAAATCTTGTCCATTCTTTTTACACAATGCAATTCAGTCCCTGTGTTATCATAAATGTGGAGCCACTCTTTTTGGGCTACTGCCATCATTGTTTCTACATGTAGCCAGCTGAAATATATAAAATTAATATAATAAATCAAGTTGTACTGTGAATTTGGTGCACACACATTCAAAACATTGTTCTACAAAAAATGGTTAGAAAAATATTTTAAAAATCTTACCTAATATCATGAATAGACTCCATAACATTGATTTCACAGTGTAATTTCTTTGTAACCCAGTCAAGAGCAGCCAAATGTCCCTGTTTGCCTCCCAAGAGCAAATGCCTGCCATTATTTGAATATTTAACTCTGTATGGACCAAAGTTGAGTTGCAATTCAAATATTTTGGTAGCTGCAGCAATGTCGACATTTTCTTTTATTATTCTCTGGGATATTGCTGTGGTCTTCTCATCATCACCAACTTCAATGCCACTGTAAAACAGAACTACAGGTTTTTATAAAGGTTTGAGTTTACACAATTGCAATTAATATTTTACAGTGAATTGTGAAATAGCATTGCAATAAACAGTTAATGTTTACTTACCCCTGGTTTTCAGTCAATAATATCTCAGCCCTAGCAGCCTGTTCTTGAGCAAAGTTAATTTTATGCTCTTTTTTTTTCAATTTTACTGCATATAATGGATGTTTTACACCATTTTTGTCAATGCCTTCACCACGAGAATATTGCTCTAGAACTGTAGGATCTATAGTTGCTTTGCCAGGATATTTTTTTGTTACTTTCCCTTGTGTTTTGTTTACTTTGCCTTTATAAAATTTGCCACCTTTCTGAAAGTACACAGAAAAGTTTTATATCATGTGTATAATTAAGGCATGATACATAATTAACTAAAATAACGGATAACTCACACATTTAAGTCGAATTTTTGTTCGACTTGTTTTGAACCAGTTTGTTGTCCTTAATCAAGAGTCACCGCCGCATTATTTTAGTGAATATATCCGAGTAGCACGGTGGTTTTTTATTTAAAACATGATACATAATTGTCTATCTATTTAGGCTGGCCATCTATGTGTAAAGTCTTAGAAAGCCAATTGGTTATGGTCTTAATTTATTTTCTCCAATATTCAATCACACGCACTAAGGTATACTTTAGGAAGTCAGTTTCGCAACTTGATGTAGCACTTCTTTGTGTGTGGTGGGTCAGTTACACACACAAAATGGAGTAGCTACAGTAATGGACATTTTTACTTGTTTTGAGAGTGAATTCATGAAGGTAACACTTTCCATAGTGTACACTCAATGAATTAATAATATTCTTTGCTATTATAATTGAATAAAAGCAGCCAATTTATTATTATTAATCAGTATTATTATTATTTTTTAATATAAATAAATAGAAATTAATGTACCCACAGTTGTATTGGAATTGCCCTGTAATATCTAAATGTACGAAATAAATCGGTAAATTTAAGTAAATTAGGCTTACCCGTAGTATAATGTGCGTAAACGAATTATTATAACTTACTTTGTACTCTTGAGCCTTCAGCATTCGTCTTGTAATTTTTACGTTAAATACCTCTATGTTTTCCGCTTTCTGATCTTTCTTTTGCGTGGTCTCATCTTTATTCACTTCAAAGTAGCGTTTCTGCAAACAATTAAATAAAAAAACCATAATCTCGGGATTGTTTCATTTATAAATCAACAGGATTAGTTCAGCTAACTTTTCTGTTTTTTGTTCAGAAATATCAAAAATTTTGTAAAGAACAGGAAACACACCTGTTTGGGTGTTTTAATATCATGATTATTCTTTTTCTTTTTGTTGAAATTCTCGTTTTTGTGTTTTGCCATTTTCACATAACCTCCACGAACTAAACATGTGTTTGACACTTTGATGTTTCGTTTCTAGCAAGGCACTGGCAACTTCAAGTTCGTATACACGCATCCGCAAGCGACAACGCTGTGGACGAAAATCTGGCGACGGACTTATACATTATATGAAGAACACAACATGTTGTTAACGAATACAATACAGAGTTGAATTTAAATGTTAAGTGTCAAGCTTGAGTTTCTCATAGGTAAACACCTACTTTTGATTTTGTACAAAATGATTTTTTTATTGGTTTATGGTGTAATAGGACGGGGTCTACGAGAAAGTGGTCAGAAGTGGCTCTCCGTTTTTATTTAAGTTTATGTAATGTAAGATAGCCGTTGGTCTTCCTAAAATTAAATAATAATAATAATAATAACATAAATGTGAAGTGCACTACACCGAATATTTAGATTAAACTCTACAATCGCTTACGATACCGTAACGTACTAATGAATCACTGTCGTATGGTATACATTACAAAAAAGCTACCATTATTTATAATACTATCTATTAGATCATAATGGTCTATCTCGTCCGAAGTGAATAAATGAATTTGATACCAACGGCCCAGTGTCAGACTTGATGAGCTCATGTTGTCATGAGTGTACTAAAAATAACATTAGTTAATAGTTAACCTCGTTTCTATTGAAATCGTTATTAAAGGAATACTTACACAATACACTCGTTCACGGGAATAAATAGATAAAGATAAAGGAATCGGGCTCAAAGGAAGTAGACGTAGGGTTTACTACACGGTTTATACTTATTTCCTGTACCCTGAATCTGTAGGCCTTAGAATAGTAACGCATAGAAACCTAGTCCGCACACGCTAAGTGAGGCAAATTGAAGCGCGCCCAAAGGGCCTACACGAGCGGGCGGGCCTTCAGTGCTCAAGGTCAACTTGCACCGCGAACAGATCAAGAATTTTAGCTAAAAATAACGAAATGTGCGGTAAATGAGTGTAAAAATACGTCAGACAAACATAACATAGATACTAACATCACATTCCACAAGGAAGTAACGCGTTTCAACTTGTATTTTTATGTAAATATTCACTAAAACCGAAAATTAACCTACTACTAAAACTAGCCTACATGAATTTGATTTTTGCCTCACTTGTGACAGTTCGTTTGATATGAAACTTTCATTCTATGCGTTATTATTCTAAGCTGTAGACATATATGTAATTATTTTGTAGTTCTGTGGGCCACCTTTAAATATACGTATATAAAATTTGTTATTTGTAAATCGTCGTTACGTTATGTGTACAATATCACGTGTATCAATTCGGTTTTCGGACTTTTTATTGAAATCATAAAATATTTTTTCAAAAAAATAATCCGTGTTGGTTAATATTTAAGGGTTGATAAAAATCACATAAAAATCGAAATACGCATAAGGCTCAATTTGTATCGCGGTAGAACGGAATGGAAGCAAATTTTGTAACGATATTGTACTGTACATAGCATAATGAACTTAATGGCCAATTGTGTAACGTACAAACTAGATACGAGCCAAACCCTTTCGCAGAATGCGCGAGCATTTTTGAGCAAGCGCGAGAATTCCGCGGAATATAAATTGAGCCTTAGGAGATTATTTCATTGTGCTTTTGATATATACTGTACTTTACGTCATTTATTTTAGATAATCTCAGTATAGAGTACTTACTAAAAAAAAACCGACCTCTGAAGTTCGTGGAATTACAACTATTTGACAAGTTTCATTGAAATCGGTTACCGGGAAGTGCGCGAAACCGCTCTTCCCGTGGTTTGCCACCCTCTGAGTCGTATTCTAGAACTCTACTCAACGCTCAAGTCAGGATTTGAGTATGATTTAAAGCACTCGAAATCATACTCAAGTCCCTGCCATTAGGGTCGTATTTCCAGTGCTTGAAATCATACCCAAGTCTGCTCAAATCCTGACTTGAACATTGAGTAGAGTTCAAGAATACGACCCGTAGGGTCGTATTCTAGAACTTTACTCAATGCTCAAGTCAGGATTTGAGTATGGTTTAAAGCACTCGAAATCATACTCAAGTCCCTGCCATTAGGGTCGTATTTCCAGTGCTTGTGTTGCCAATGCAATCCTGACTTGAGCATTGAATAGAGTTCTAGAATACGACCCTTAGAGATCTACCTCTAAGGGTCTATTTTCTTCAAATTTAAATAGGACTAATATTAAGGAACCTCTTTTCCAACAAAAAAAATATCATCAAAATCGGTTCACAAATGTCGTATCGTGTCGTGCCGAGTTATCGCGTAACATACATACAAAAAAATACCGTCGAATTGACAACCTCCCTTTTTTGGAAGTCGGTTAAAAAGGGACGACGGTCTGCATAGTTTAGTCTGTGGCTCAACACTAAGGTTTAAAGTAGACTATGCAGTTTAGGTTAAGAACGATTCAACGTGTCAATAAGTTTATTATGGTCTTGACTGTACCATATAATCAACCAAGTAGAGTGTAAACTAAATCTACACATGAAAGGGCTCACGAAACAATAGCGAGAGTCGTGGTATGTATTTATTATTTTTATTCTCTTTAACAACACATACTCAATATTTTACAGAAACGTATATGACAATCAGAGTAGTAACATAGTAATAGGTTTAGTTTTTAAATGCGAATAATATTATCGATTTCACTGTGTTCCAATGCGATTCCAAACAAAATTTATTGTAATAAAATTGGCGATTACACTAAAAAAAACTTAATAACAAACAAATCATGCAGTACAATCGAAACAATAATTGCACGTAATTTGTGTCAAGCGTAGGTACTTAAAAAGTAAACAATGCAAAATAACACTAACTTGAGACAATTAAGCTATCACAATCCGTAGGGTAACAATAAATAAGTTAACACGTAACGCAATCACAGCAAGTGAACATTGGCTAACAAAGAAGGATTAATTTAGTCCTAAAATTGGTTATCAATTATTGACTGAATTAACTTACTCGATCTAATGAGATCTCGTTATTTCCTAATATAAATAAAAACGTCCATGCGACGCGACGACTATTTTATTCACAATTTTATTTACAAAACTGACTAGAGAGTCCTCTAAGGAGTTATTTTCGTTTGTTTACACTTCTATGTTTATAATCATTAGTCTTAATTATATCAGCGAACAGGGGCTGCTGTGTCTGTATCATTTGGCACATTCCCAGTATGAGAATTTGAGAGACAGTATTAAGTACAGTTTTCTTATTCTCTATAATACTTCTGACTGATAAGTCCGAGTCTGTTTTGGATATTGGCTAATGGCGACTGCCCCGACAGCAGTCTAAATTTCAATGATAAAACTTATTTGTAATCTTGAAAGGTAGGTACACTATTTACAACGAACATGACAAGTGTTTGTGGGGCTAAAATCGCTTACATAATACCATATAGTATAAACTTTCCCTAACAATTATTTTTATTATAAGCATATACGAGTAACAGTGTTTAAAATTTATGTTTAATATTTAGTCCAGTTTTACTTAAAATCGAACGATTTTTGAGTGTCGTCTTGACTTAATTTAAAAAAGTCACGCATCGTATACAACTGTTTACAAAACAGACATCGTTACCTAAGTAGAACACATACTGTCCGAAAATAGCTCGACATAAGCGGCCAACACACTGCACACTTTGACAAACCATGAAATTCACGGAAAGAACATTTCGGTAGCCGCATTTGGTTATCTTTGGTGAATAGCAATTTTGTAACTGTCTGCGCATCCACTAAACGAACGCATATTGTCATTTACACTAAGTCATTTCAGTCTGTTCAGCGTATAAGCTCCGCCGATCGAAATCTTGACGGGTGTTATTCAGTTCACTGTCGCTCCGATTCGGCGGCGCTCTGTGAACCTTAAATGGGCGTAGGGAGCACTGTGAAGTCCTGGAGCGCGTTCTTCACTGTTTCGTATAGCGGTCGGTTTTCGTCGGGGCAGTACCCGTCCGGCGAGCACAGGGTCTGCAGCTTGGTAAGGTACGAGTCGAAGTTGTCGTGAGCTGGTTTCTCCCCGGGGCCCGGCGGCGGGGGAGCACCAGGAGGTCCGCTGGCGGAAGTCACCGGCACCGTTCCTCCGCCAGGAATCCGGACGTGCTCCAGTAACGTAATCACATTGTTACGCAGACTCTCGTAGTACTCATTCAGATTGTTGTTCCGCTGCGATATCAATTGATTCTCCTGGAAAGAACAAAAACATATTTACATTCCAATGTAGGTTCTGACAACACGTTATCGAGGGAGTGTTATGAGTTTTTTATTTGTTGGTTGTCGCAGCGGCTACTTCATCGAATAATAATGTAGTGGTACTCACAAATGTTTGTGACTTGTTTGCACTCAAAGTTGGATGTTTGGAGCCATGACAGTACCATCTACATAGTGAGATAAAAATGTCGCATTATAATTAAATTTTCATACTGTTCTTGATTTACTTGGGCAGAGTTAGAGATTTTAAATATGTTCGGCTTTTGATATAAATTGTTTGGTCTATTTAAAGTAATTCAGTAAGTCATGAAGATAACACTCACGCGTTCTCCGTGACTGAGATGCGTCTCCATGGCGTTGATATCAGACTTTAGGCGCATCATTTGGGATTCCACGCGGGCGTTCTCCCGCTGCAACTCGGTGATCTCTTGCTCTAAAGTCATCAGGTCTTCACCGTTGCCTGTCTGCATGTTCATCTCCATACCTAGTAAAGGTAGAAGAGTTGATGTAATACTTGCCATTTGATAGTAAAATGAAAATTATCAAATAACTACTCTTTGAAAGTTCCACAAATACGAACCTGAATATGGCTTAGGATATAACGGCGTGATGTCATCTGGATATTTTGGCTTTTTTGGCTGTGGAGTCGGTGTAGCTGCGCCAGCTACTGGACAGCCAGAGAGCGAGCGGTGCGTCAAGAAGGAGCCGTTGATATGCCCTGAGCCGTCACAGCCTGGTGTGGGGCAATTGACTCCGTCAAATTTGATGGCAGAGGCCGCTGCGGCCACGGCAGCCTTATGTTGTTCCACGGTTCCACCGCTCTCTAGCACTCGCATTTTGTTGCGATTCGCGATCGGGCATCCAGAGGCACTGATAATCATAAATAATTTCATTAGTTTCAGAAGATTGGATGAGGTAGTTCCGAACTTTATTACAACTAGTTACATTACATCTACATCACGAACTACAGTTTGCAGGTTCAATTCTTACCTTCGATGCGATAAGAATTTCCCTGTAGCGTGTCCAGATCCATCACAGCCCGGTATAGGGCATCTAAGCAGCGTGGAAATAACCAAGAAACTTATTGTAAAAGGGTTATAGAAGCTTAGGAGTTTTTGTTAAAGTAATTATACAGCAGGTGTGCCTAATTTGTATAAGTCATTATTCAAGGGCACCTATTGAGCAAAGATCATCGACTTACAAGGACGCAAGAAGGTGAGCCGAGCCAAAAAGTATAGGTACTACCTACCACACTTTTTCTATCAGAATTCAATGGACGATTTTCCATTATCTTACGTTGCGATACGGAAAACTCGTTGAAAGAATTAAATACCTTTTTTTCACCCATACAATCATACCTCAAGTCGATGTACCCTCATTCAATAAGCAAGATATAAAGGGAAGAAGCTCCAACCACCCGATAACATAAACATGCCACCTAATCTCTAGTTCTACTTTCCCGTCACCAATAAGAAGTGAACTTACCTGAGAGGTTCCGAGTCTTGTCCATCCCTCGGCTTGCTTTTCGGTTTGTTAGCTCGAGGGCAGCCCGAAAGCGAGCGGTGGGAGGAGTAGTTGCCGGTGACATGTCCCGATCCATCGCAACCAGGTGTGGGACATTTGAGTTCCTGCGAATGTGGCTGTAGCTGGCTGCGGTCGGCGCGCGGGCATCCCGACAGGCTGTACATATACAGACTGCTTACAATGGCGTGGCAAGGTCTCGGATTGTAGCTTATGATGATATCAATAATGTCAGCTCATGAATAATTCTTTTTAGTGAATTTTCTACTAGTTCGTTGTTATAATTGCAGAAATCTCAAACAAAAACAACGGCAAAAGGCCGTTAAAACCATAAACAAAGGTCTGCAACCAACACATAGAGAAATTCGTAGGGTCTGCTAACTCCGTAGCTCAGTTGGGAGAGCGATGAGCGAGTGACCCGCGTTAGCCGAAAATGTCGCTGGTTCGCGTCCAGCGTCCAAATGTCGCGGATTCAAGGAGTTTTTCTTTGAATTTGTTCGTTCTTTGAACTAATCATTAGTACTTGAAACGTAAGCGTAAGTGGTACCCTCGACCTCCAAATTTGTTTTCAATACACTAAATAATTAAGTATGCAAGTAGAATTGAAAGTATCGTATTAAATCGTGAGAAAGCGTTTAAACGAACTTACCAATCTATAAATACTCTTAATAACATTATAATAATTTTAACTATTACATTGACCGTTTTAACTACATTACTTGGTTCGTTTATTTATATCCGTGTACTTATAACTTGTTTAAAAAGGTTCTTAGATAAGGCTACTATTATTTTACGAAAACAGCGCATATAGTTTATTATTGCGGGTCGTGTCGGAAACCTTTCTCGGCGAGTGTTATTGTTGAAAGGTGCAATCAATTAAAATTAAAATAAAACATGTGACTGAAAAGCGTCTCGAGTAAAGATAGATGGAATAGTTGACGATATAAATAGTATGAAAACCGCTACATCTGGTACATTTATGGGCATGCTCGCGTCTCGGGACACGTTTGAAATTTATCACCCAAGTAGAACGATTTAACGTACGTATCGGAAAAACTGTTTTTATTTGTAAGTAGATATGTACTTTGCATTATTATAAACAAAGTGACGTTCATGTCATCATAAAAATAAAATCAAACTGTTCTTGATAGTCGTTCTCACAAAGTCACAAATTCATGTAAGGGGCAATATATACGCTTCTATGATAAGATTCCGGTTGATATTAAAAACTATAGTGAAGAAAAACTTTATATTGAAGGTCATACAGCTCCTGCGTACTTGGATGACAAAAATCCGTGGTAGCGATCCGTTTAGCTCCTGCATGTGGTCTCGATGTCTGATGTTTTGAAATAAATATTGTAAATGTGTACAATTAGAGTTTCTTGCTCATTCTTCTCAGGGAAATCTCTTACGAATGAGCAGTAGAGTTTAATCAATATGATGATTTCAATTGCAATTTGCTTACCAATGAAATAAAGATAAATATGAGTTTTGAGTTATGTACGTAACTGTCATTAATTATGGTAAACTATTGCCAAGTTGATGAAAGTTTACGTAACATGAGAAAATACTTTTAAAAATCTCAGTGGTTTTGAGATGACAAAAGAATGAGGAAGGTAAAACATAGGAAAACTTCAGGTAGTTTATACGTAGCTCCGGCATCCTTTGAATCAATAGTTTTAACAACGGGAAATGAACAATAGCTATTGTTATCGTGCTCTTTTGATTCTATTATACATAAAAATTTTGCATCTATCGCCTACTATAGGTACGCTAAACAAACAAATACGTAAATAGTCATTTATATACAAGTGAACGTTATTGATAAGTTCCGGTAAAATGTACTTATATATATGTATATATATTATAAACATTTATTATTATTAGGAAATGCACACATTGAAGATAATTTTATTAAACATATTAGAACCTTGAGTTACTAAAGGAAATTATCATAAATTTATACGGAAGTACATCATAAGTATAACATAACTTATCACAGTCATCGAATGTCATACGTGACCATGAGACCTGAAAAAGGACCCGAAACGTTGGTTTGTTTGAAAAAACAAATATTTGCGATTTAAATTCGATCCGAATATATTTTTTTTTATTAAGTCATCTCTTTAATCATCTTTATAAATGGAATATAAAAATATGATATAAAATAATAATACGCGTACTTATACATAAAAACTTACGTCGTAAATAGTCCGCATTAAATGACTATACTTCCTATAAGTCCCACGTCATTTTGTAGAGTCAAAAGTCTTTCAGATATCTGACGTATGTATTTACATAGATTATAAGTGCCTAGACACGTGTGCTGTTTGTTTATTCATTCATGAGCAACACACAAATATGTTACGAGGTTGAATTATTTTCGCTAGACCGTTTGCAAAATGGGACTTTTAAAAAGGTACGCTTGCCTAAGTAAAATTAGATAAAGCATGTGTCACAGCAATAGTTGTTTCTAAGAATAAAACATTCGAAAACCTTACTTTAACGTAAGTATTGGCAATATTTTGGTTGTTATATAGTAAATCGTTTAGGTACGTAAGAGAACTTGGCATACAGAAACGTGAAAATTGCCGGTTGAGGGCAATGTCGCAATTAAGATTATACACGTGTGGGTGGTACGTACAAATTACTTTCGTACTATAGTATTATGTCCAGTAGTCATTTTGTAGTATTCTAGCAACTTCTTGACCCAGATTGAGAAAGTTTCAAACATGTTTTGACGACCGTGACCATGGGGCCTGGAAAGGGCCCGAAACGTTGGTTTGTTTGAAAAACCAAATATACGCGATTTAAATCCGGAAAAATAATTTCATTTCCTATGTTTAACGACTTTTTCATTTAAAATTTTTGCGTTAGCGTAATATTATAATATTTTTGTTTTCAAACACGTAAATTTGTAAGATGATTTGCAAAAATAAAGTTAACATTAAAAATAAAAACATGGAAAAAGTTTTGGTAACTGTTGGCATTGGTGGTGATTATAATACATGAATCGCTCAGCTGTCCCTTTCTGTCTTACGGAAGAGAGAGAGAGACGAAAAAAACATTCGTGCAAATGTCGCACGTGTGAATAAGGGATTTACAACAAGCTGGTAGCTTGAGATGCCCTCGGGTTTGCTTGCCTGCGGTGTGTAGCGAAGTTGCCCGATATGTGGCCCGATCCGTCGCAATCTTCCACGGGACACTGGATCAGCTCTCTCTGTTCCCGTCCAATTCTATACGTCAGAGGTTTCCCGTAAAAGTCCTCTCGATGAAAACTATAACTATCATAAAGAAATGAAACGTAAACAAATAAAAGTTTTAAAAACAAAACAAGTGAAATAAACGGAAGTGTAAAAATAAACAAATGTTAACGGACGACTAGATAGCAAGTAATATAATCAAAAAGCAGCGCCAAAAGACTTGTATTATGATATGTACGACATTAATGTTATTTATAGTGCCCATTTTTGTTCTTAATATGAAAGTCATTAACCCACAATAATCAATGTACACAACTCTCTAAAGTAGCGCAAACAAAACATTGCTGTCTTAAAATGATCGTTATCGGAGTGCGTCAGGCGTGTTGAAAAAGTTTACAAAGTTATTGTTACATCTTGGCTATTGTTGATTTCGTATCGAATAACGACGCGAAATCAACCTAAAAGTAGCATAAACAGACGAAAAAAGTTTGTCAACTTACCTATTACGTCTCATGGTTGAGTTTCAACAACTTTTGAACACAAAACTAACACAAATGTTCCAATAGTTTGTATCTTATCGTCCATTTAGTTTATCGCTGTGCTTGTATAACGCTACAAGCGTGGTGCGCGCCTGCGCGGGCGCCGGTATATTTTTGGACTGTTCCACAATTTGACATAAAGCACGTTCGGATTCGCGCAATAGCGGAATATCTTCTTTCTCTTTTCCTCACCCCACGTTTTATAATACCTGTGTGGCAGGTAGCAATTTAGATTCATTGAGAAGTTTAAAACAAATCTAAAACATGACGAATACATGAATTCTGTCTTTATGTTAGTAAGTATTAAATTGAAAATCATCAATGTTCAATAGTTTTGTAAAGCAACAACAGGTTTTGTAAAGTGTTAATATTTATTGCAAACCTATAAAAAATTTTTGTTTAAAAGATAAGGGAAAAGAGTAAGAGAAAACAAATGTATAAGATCTCATGAATGTGTAAACTGTTTACAATATAATGGAGTTAACCTTTTATTATATGTAAAAAAATTAAGTAGACATAAGTCATCAGAAAAAATAATAATAACTTCGTTAATGGAATGCGTGTATCTGAACATACACGAGCGTAACCAAATGGCGACAGTTCGAAGTAAAAAAGGCGTAACTAACTCTTTAAAGTTTTCGATTAACGAACTAAACGATATATCACTTGATAATTTTTTGTTGTCAGTGCTAGCACGTTAGCTGTTAAGTGGTGACTGTAAAATTATACTTACGTCACCGTGAATCGGTCTAGTTGGCAAAATGGACAAAAATAAAGGAAAAGAATTCACAGTTTTTGGAAGTTTTTCCTTTGTGTATGAAGTATGCTTAACGATTATTTGATTTTGTCTCGTGTGACGTAACGTAAGGAAATAATTGTTGTGGCAATATTTTGTAGTTTGTACAAGTTTTTGAACTTTATGGAAGTTGTCAGTGGTTAGGAAACAGATGATTCTTTTGTTAAACTCCTAAAACTTCCATTGTCACTGTTTCCTTATTAGCCTTGTTATCAACACTTTTCACAATATTATCACCAACTATGTACTTATAGGTATATTTACGAGCGAGTGTAAATTTTGTTTGCACAACATTTTTTGTGTTACGAATCCGATTGGTTTCGTCAAAATTTGGATTGACACTGATAGATAACGTGTTTCTACTGAAGCTACGGGTTGTATTAATCGCGTGGGCCAAGACGAATTGCACTCGTATCATTGAAGTATGTACAAACTGATTTCGTTTCAAACCAACAGGCAATATTATAAACAGAATTCTCTTGCATTTTCCTCAATGTTTAATTTGTTTAATTTTAATGAAGCTTTGTTGACGACTGTTATCCTTCCTGCTAATATTATTATTATATTATTGTACGCATATTGACGGCCTCACCGAATACACGTTAAAAGCTTTTACCATTTTATTTTCCCGCTCATAATACACCTCATAATTTTTTACAGATTTTTTTAAAATTAATTTTATAATTATTCCGAAAATAAAATCAACAATCTCGCCCAAATATTGCAAGTTAGTATTTTGCACACTATCTCCTCTTGTATGTTTACAATAAATTAACTTTGTGATATTGTTAGTGGAAATCTTTAACATTGTAATGCATTTTTACACTTTTAAAACGTATGACCAATTACTAGAATAACCTAGTATAACTTTTTCGACGAATAATAATGTAAACACTACAAGCGAACGGCTGTTAAAGCAATTTTTACTAGAATAAAATTTTAAAAGGGTTTTTTATTAATTTCTGAGGAACTATCAATGTTTTCGTGTTTCATATTATAATATTTTTTAATTTAAGTATATCCAATCACCAGTGAGTAATACTATTTTTTAATTTTTTAATCACGTCTGTGTTGCAGTTTTTCCTTTTCACATTTATTCGGTAGGGCCGTCGAATTATGTACGCTCGCATGTGTGCGTGTCGTCATTATTGATTATTTATGTATTCTTAAGCACATACAATATAAAGCAATATTATTGATAAAGTAGTACACAAGTATAACCCAGGAACCAAATATCTTCTCAGTTGTGTAAAAGGAAGGCTTGAAGAAATCGGTTACCATACGCTTTTGTAAATATTTTAAAATTCCTTAATTGCAAATTCATACAATTGTGGCACAATATAGTGGTTATATACATATGCGTATACATACAAAAAATGCATAATATTTACTAATAATTACAAGTATACGTAATATAATGCGTAAAGTAAAATAATACGTAAACAATTAAACAATTTTCGTATCAGCATTATTTTTATAACAAAAAAAAATTCGTTTTTTGTACCTACATTATTGTAAAGTGTTGGAAGGTGTTGTTGTTGAAGATTACTCACACATAAGACGGTTTGCACCTGGGCGCTGGATGAGGAGGTCCCGGGTTCGATTCCCGGTAAGACCAATTTGGGATATGAACTTTTCGTAAATTGGTTTGGTTGTTTTGTGTAGTACCCGGAGTGCATTCCGTTGCTCTGGTATCAGAGCGATACCTCCTATGAACACTACGCTAACTTAATTTTTGGACCTGTTCTGTTTTTAGTTTGTTTATTGTTATTTTTTTTTACAAAATTCTTTTTTTTCCAATATTGTTTTTTGTTTCTTTAATTCGGGGAGCATAATATTATTAAATAATGTTTACACAACAATGTGTGTAATAATAAATGTTTACAAAAATTACAGAAACTGACCAAAAAATAACGTTGGCGTAGTGTTCATTGAAGGTAAAATAGGTAATTTCCTAGTTCGAGACTAGGTAATTGTTGTGGTTACCTGCCACGTTATGCCACGTTATTATTATTCTAAAGTAGAAGCATCATCGAAGCAGATAGTGCTTATTAACACAATTGTATAATAAATAAATAAATGGTTTCATTGGAGGTCGAGGTTCATTTCAATATAAAATGTAGGCAAACACGTGTTTTTTTAAATGAAAAAACATCACACTGTACATAAACATTTTGTACACTTAGCGTTACTGTATCCGATTCGTATTCGTTCCGAAACCAAGATCATACAAATCTACAAAACTTGGACTCACTTCGAATGTTCCTTGTCCACTAAGTTCAATTCCAATCCGAGAAAATACGCATATCGCTTGTACACTTGGAGATTTAGTAGCAGTAGAGCTCCTTGTGAAAGAGTTCGTCCAGGGAAATACTGCCACCTTACCTATTTCTGCCGCCAAGCACTAATCTGAACATTGCTGCGTTCCGGTTTCGAAGGGTAAGTGTGTTGGTGAAATTACAGGCTTTTCAACTTTGTCCAGGGTGTCGGGTGCTGTGGCAGTGCCCCTCAGAGCTTTGTGATTAAAGCTCTGAGTGGCACTGCAATTGTTATGGACAGGTGTGTCGCTTGCCACCAGACACACGACTTGTTCGTCCCGTCACTTAGTATTATAAAAAAAAAGATATAATGATCCCTGTGACATTTCGTACTCTTGTTCTCCGTCTCAAACAATTACTATCAAATAGGTAATACTCGACCTCATTACTCAAGACGCATGATGCGAATGAAGGTTCTTTCTTGAAATTGTCTATTAATTCGATCGAGTATTACTTATTTGACGTTTATTATTTCGGATGTCCGTCCGACGTCGGAGTATAGTAGAGCGCAAACGCTCTTAGGAGCTGCATTCTCGTCGATTTCGCAGACGCCATATATGTATATACCTTTTTTTTTGACGTGGGGGAAATCTTTATAGATACCCATGAGCCCAAGGAGATTCAGGGGTTATGTGGGGACTCTCCCTCCAGTATATACCTACAGCTTGATTTTGATTGCCTCTCCCGATCGGAAACTGCGTCTTTTCCGATTCGAGGCGCATAAATGCGATTCACAACTGGCCGATCGGAAACTTTTGACATTTCTAACCGGAACAATAGTTGATTCAACTCACAAATTAGAAAGATGTAATAGGAATCAGGTTCATTTTCTCGCTCGGGAACCCATCTGATTTCGAGATTACCCGATCGGTTCGATTCTGGGGGTCTACTCTCTATCTCCGTCCGACATCCGTCCGAAACAATTACTGTCAAATAAGTAATATTCGACAAAATTAAAAGACAAGTATCAAGTATGAAGCTTCATTCGCATCACGCGTCTTTTCATTTGGTCAAGTATTGCTTATTTGGCAGTAGGTAATTGTTTCGGACGGATGTTGGACGGAGATCGAGAGTAGATCCCTTGATTTGAATCAAAATCAGCATGCTGACTGTCACATGGTTTCGACCACAAGGAGCGTGGACATAATCATACCGGGTTATTTATAAAATACTAACAACCTCGCAGGACTAGGTATATTACTGACATCGTAATTAACAACTTTTGTGCCATGACTTTTTATAAAACATAAAAAAATTATTTATTGAGATTGAGATTTATAGATTTTTTGAGAAATAACTCCACTAGTTTTGTTATAATCAACGAGTATATAACCAGAAATAGAGACGAAATGTCATTTAATTTGTTTGAAATCTATTCTGCCAAATCATTTCGGTAACAACTGCGCTCCGATTGGCCAGCCCGAATTCGAAACAATTGACGGATGTCGTCAATTGTTTCACTTCAAAACGACCAGTTTAAGTTGAGCTTTGCTATCATCATCATCTTATTTAAGAGCTAGACTCTTGTCGGTGTAGCCTTCTCCACTCTTCACGAAGATCAAGAATGGCGTATAGTGAACAAATAAAAACGAAAGATCAAAGTGAACAGCTATAAAGAGGTCAAAGAACTGGCTATGAATCGTGAACTTTGCTATAATGGACGAAAATTGAAAAATTATATATTTAATTACTACTTCTAAGTCTGTATTTGGTAGTAAGGTAGTAAATTTAATCGTAGTAGCAGTAGAGCTTCTTGTGAAAGAGTTCGTCCAGGGAAGTACCTTACCTATTTTTGCCGCCAAGCAATAATTTGAGCATTATTGCGTTCCGGTTTTGAAGGGTAAGGTGCTGGTGAAATTACAGGCACATGGGACTTGTCAAATGATATGTAACTTGTGAAAAAATCGTGTAAGCGTCCTCCTCGATGATGTCCACCCCTGTTCCTTTTGTTACTGCACAGAGTTATCACAGTTGAGAGAGATCTATTTAAATATTTTTATTTTTGTATGAAAGTAATATCTGATGAGTTATTAAAAGTTACGGAACAAAAGTTGTCGCTTATGATGTTAGTAATATAGTCCTGCGAGGTTATTAACCCTGTTTATGCGTGTTGGTCTGTAAACTAAGGAAGACAACGGAATGGAATATTCACCTGGTATCCTTAGGTTTATCATGGGGCGCGTGTGGTGGCGGCATGTAGCACGGTGGTGAGTAAGGGGGTGCGTGCGGGGGATATGCGGGTGGCGGGGGGTAGGCCCCGCACTGGTACTGATAACCACCGTAACCCGCCGCAGCCGCAGCTGCTGCATAATCGGGCTGGGCGAGACCGTAGCCTGCTACTGGATGAGGACTCACGCCGCCGTAGCCTAGCGAAGAAAAAATATTAATAATAATAACAAACACACTCATAGCTCCGCACTAGGGAAACCCTGTATCGCGGATGCCATGCACACACACATAGACAGCCACAAATTACACCCCAATTCACGAGATAAATAAAATAGGCCTTACAAATATTTTTCCCGGCCCGGAATCGAACCTGGTACCTCGGTAGGGCAGTCCACCATTGTAACCGTTTGGCCACACAGGCACTTAAATATTGTTTTAAAATCACTAGCTCGGAAAGGCTTTCTTACTACAAATATGCGCGCAAAAGCGTTTTTTCCACGCTAGCCTAGAAAAGGTTTTGAAATTCGAACTTGACGATTGTTGTGTTCCTAACTTTTCCTTTTTTTTTTAAATTTATTAAGGCTTTGGCAAAGCCATCACCCTAAACATGAAGTTTGTTTCTGTAAATATGGCCGCCACAAAGAGGATAGAAAATTTGAGGCGGCGTGTTTGGATTGCCTCGGGATTCCTTAAAACGGGCCGATACGGATATTCTAGTTCGAGATTCATATAATTTCGCGTTTTAATCTTCGATTAAGGCACAATAGCACTATCCTATTCCACTTTAAACTAGATTTCACAAAATAATTGAAAGTCAAAATAAAAACGACACTTTTCCCTCCGAAAGGTCCAGAGCGAATCTTCGTAACTTTTCCTTCGATGAAAAAAAAAAACATAATGACACGTTCAATTACGTCCTACATTATTTATGTACTTAATATAAATCCGTTGGTATATTTTATTCTTATTATTGTTGACATTAAATTGATAACGATAACTAATTTTGTTTATTATAACTGATTTGTTATTTTTGTTTTTCTTTCATCTACTATTTTCCTCGCTATAATGATGAAAAGTTGTGTGTGTCGCTCGGCAGCAAAGTTGTTTTGCGTCTCGTTCTTCGTGGTTCAATGTTAGATACCTTCGCTTGCTCAGGCTTCAATACAAGCACTCGCGTCAAACAACAGCTTTGCAGCCATGCTTAAGAAATAACTATTATATATGAAAAAAAAAAATCTTAGGCACGTAATTTGACACGAAAGGCTGGTGTTAAAGAAATCCAGGCTGTAAACAACGTGACAATACCTTTCACAAATGAATCTTATGGTGTTTTTTACAAGATATGTTTCTACAATTTGCAATTTTAAATGAATACCGCACACGCCTAACAACGGTAACCATAACACAAGCGCCTGCTCGCTAGGATTAGCAACATTACTTGGCGGCGTGTTGCGGGCTGAGCGCCGCGCGGAACTCCAGCGGGGAGTGATTATCGCGGTGGCGTTTTAATTTGTACGACGTGTTTTACGCCCCGAGGCAGGGAGCACTTACCCCCTGCTAATGTCGAGGTAAAATATGCTCCATATGATGCTACGAGATTATCAAATTAAACAAATGAAGCTTTATCTGGAACGTGTCGGTGAAAATGTCTGCTAGACAAGTGAATTGAATATTTGCAATAAAATCGAATTTAAAGAGGTCAATCATAACTATACAGTAATCCATTTATATCCCACTGCTGGGCACGGGTCTCCCTCTCAGACGAGGGTTTAGGCCATAGTCCCCCATGTTTTCCGAGGGTTGTGAACCTTCCTCGATGTGCAGGTTTCATCACGATGTCTTTTTTTCAGCGAGAGTTCATGGTAACGTAACAATAACGCACACACTCATAGCCCCGAACTAGGGAAACCCTGTATTGCGGGTGCCATGGACACACACACCTAAGTAGACAACCACAAATTATATCCAAATTCACGAGAGAAGTAAATGTAGGCCATACAAATATTTCTCTCGGTCCGCGAATCGAACCCGGGACCTCTGAGTGGCAGACCAGCATGGTAACCCTGCAGCTACAGAGGCCGTTAAGGAGGGCAGAGCGATTGAGTGAATTTACTTACCAGCTGTGTCTCGATGATAAGCTTCTAAGTAAGGATGGCTTCCTCCACTGTCCGGCGTTGATTCTCGACTATATGACACTCCACCAGGGAAGCCTCGACTGCTGACAAATAAAATGGTAAACTTATTTGTAACAATTATTATTATGGAAATGTAAACAAAACGTCGACAACATTTAACAGATGAGCACAACATTCGTGAATGACAGAGACTGGCTACAGGACATAAAGTGCATGTGACCTTAAAAATATCGACGACATCTATAGCCAAGAAATGACAATACGCCCAAACATTAGCGCACTAACACCTATGTGGTAAATGCCTCACCTATGTGGTAAACGGGACACACTAAGGTCGAGGGTCTGGCCCTGCGGACTGGGCACCTGGGCGCTGGCGGTGAGCTGGGGCGAAGCGCCCGGCTGCGGGCTGCCTCGGGCTCCGCCCCCGCTGCCGCCACCGGCGCTTGTGTACACCGGTGATGCGTATGGACCCTGTTGTAAAAATTTAACTTTTCATATTTGCATACTGACTACATTTTAGGACCATTAAGTGTCGTTATGTTTGTTTTTTATTTTAAATTGTAGCCCTTTTTCAGTTTAGTATATTCTAATTTAAACAATTTATTGAAACATATAGTAAGAGATAAATAATTTTGGGGTTTGATTAAAAAGCCTTTTATGATAATTGTTACCGTCGCCCTCACCTGTGGACTACCACTAGACGTGGAAAGATCTATGGCTGGACGGGGATCTCTGGGGTCCCGAGGTGTGGGAGTGCGCGGACGCTGCGCTTGCGCCGCGGCGATCTTCACCGACAGATTGATTGCCGAGAATCCGGGGGCAACAGTGGGACCCATAGCGGTCACTCCGCCTACTCCGCTACTCGTTTCGTAGTGGTACATTGGTCTAGACAAAGAGGTAACGTTGACCAACTAATTTCTAGAAACTTGTTACAGTAGTATGATAAATTATTTTTTACTCGACGTAAGAATACGACTACGCTATTCGAATAAATAATTGAAACGAGTCCCGTTTACCACTTGACATAGGTTGCACAGGCATTTGAACAGTAAGTTGGTGTGAGGGAGTATCATCAAAGCGGCGTCAGCACGTACCTAGGGTAAATGGGTCCAGAGTTGGTTTCCTGCTCGGACTGGTCGGTTTTCATAGGCGTGGGAAGGTGTGGGTCGTGGTACCGGTCGTCCTCCCAGCCGTAAGAGCGCTGCGGGCACTGCGCCGGGTCGTATCGCTCGAACGCCGGCGCGCCCTCGTAGCACCGAGTTTCGTACCCGTACCGGGCTTCATTCATTTGACTACGGGGAAAGGGGTACTTAATTTTCAAAGACAAAAGGTACGATTTTCACAAACCCTTCTACAAAACATCTTAAATTACCAACAAAAAAATTGATGACTTAAATATTCGTAGATATACCTATTGACATTTATTTACGTCGTTTAACAGATCAATTAGAAACTTAACTACGACATAGAAAGAGCGGTGCTGGGCGTATCTTTAGCATTTGTAACTTATGATAGCCAACCTCACTTTTCATCCACGAATGTCGTGCGATTAATTGGGGAAAGACCACTATCGTCACTAATTAGAGGGATTAAATGAAACAAAGAAAAAATAAATTTGGTAATTTACTAGTGCAAAACGTTGCGGTGTTGGCTGAGGTTGTACCTGTAAGACCGCACGTGGTCGTCCGGCGGTCGTTCGTAGGGGGATCGCTGGTCGGGCGGCGCGCCGTAGCCGGCGTGGCGCGTCTCCATGGTGGGGGAGTCGCGCTCGGCCTCGGCGGCCTCGCGCTTGGGCACGAGCAGCTCGGGAGCTTCGCGCTTCACGGCGGGACTACGCGGCGAAGCCGCGGGCTCGCGGTCGCGTGAGCCGCTACCGCTACTGCCGGCGCTAGCGGTCTCGCTTGGTGCTACCAGCGGCGTCGGCGCGGGCACTGTTGAGAAAGACACTATGCGGGCGTCATTATTATGTTAATTTAATGTTAAATAATAATAATAACCAGTGGCGGATTCGCAGTCTTCAGTAGTCAGTACCAGCATCTGTTCAGTAGTTTTTGAGTTAGATATGTAATACATTTATATTTTATACATAATATGTACAAAAGTGATTTAGAAGATTATTGTTACACGATGCGGTGCAGTGCGGCCCGCCGTAATGTGCGTGTGCCTTTAGAATATTTAGGTACTTTGAGTTATTTCTAGATAACATCAGTAAATTTTTTGTCACGATTGGCCGCCCTAGGCCTGGGAATACAGGGCCTTAAGGCAAATCCGCCACTGATAGTAACACACACACCCTGTGTCGCGGATGTCATGGACACGAACACATAGATAACCACAAATTACACCCAAACTCAAGAGATAAATAAATGTAGGTAGGCCATACAAATATTTCTCCCGGCTCGGGAATGGAACCTCTCTGTGTCAAACCGGCATGGTAACCGTTCAGCCACGTAGGCAGTTAATGTCGTGTGTCGTAAATGCAAACCATTTATTTACCACACAAGTTTATAGAAAACAAAACATATAACAATATCAAACAGAACAGCAACAGTGCGTGTAAGGAACATGATCAGTTTAATCTTTGTGGCTGTGTGCCATGCGGTACTGATTGTCAGCCAGGCCTTGTTGCCTCTAAACACAATCCAATTTGATTGCACCACCTGTCACGATAAACATCGAATATAGCTTTCCATTTGTTGAAATTTATTGTTAGTAACATTTAATATATATGATAAATTTTTATTGAATTGATATTCAATTATTATGTGTGAAATTACTCCACTAGTTTGTTATAATTATTAATACAAAGATCGAAAACTCAGAGAAAATTCATTCGATCCGGCCGGATTCGAACCGACGTCTTCTAGCTTACCGTGTCAGACGCTATACTAACTAAGCCACGGAACGAACCAGCGGACCTCACGAATTTTTCTATGTGCTTGCGTCGTGTCTTTGTATTTGGTTTTTCAACGTCTTTTTAGTCGCAGCGCCAGCTATGAGAAACCTATGAAAGATTTATCACCCAGTTAGTACCTTTACAGCTACCAGTCCTGGTGAGAGATGTCGCTATTCACTGTATTTTTAATTTTTATTGAATTGATATTCAATAATTTTTTGTGTAGTAAATTCGTGAGATCCGCTGGTTCGTTCCGTGGTTTAGTTGGTATAGCGTCTGGCACGGTAAGCTAGAAGACGTCGGTTCGAATCCGGCTGGATCGAAGGAATTTTTTCTGAGTTTTCGATCTTTTTATTAATAATTATAACATTTAATATAGGTAAAAAGAAGTCCACGAGGACGTTGAAGTCACGGTGGTTCTATACTTTGGCTAATTGCCAGTTACGACGCAGCCCGTGTGAGTAGAGTCACGGGAAAGTTACTAATGAATGATATATATATATATATATATACATATATATTAGACAACATCACATACATTGCTGTGATCCCAAAGTAAGGAGCTAAAGCGCTTGTGTCATGGAAATCGAAAACAACGATGGTACCACAAACAAACAGACCCGAGACAATATAGAAAAATTAGTTTTCTACACTGACCCGGCCGGATATCGAACCCGGGACCTCTGAGCTGGCGACACCATGAAAACCGGCCGTATGACGGACATAATAAGCACCACAGAAGGCAAACACCCATAGAAAATAAATTTTATAAAGAAGTCGGAGAAAATAATTAAAACAATTGTGTATTCACAATCAACGAGATGTACCCATATGTATATATAGTTACCTGTGGGTCTAGCTCTCTGATTTCTGGCGGCTGCTTTCCTAGCGGCGGCAGTGGGGCAGCCGGAGAGCGAGCGATGCGTGCTGCGGTTAGAGCTGACGTGGCCGCGACCGTTACACCCGGGCGTCGGGCACTTCAAGATCGTCTCGTGCAACGCCAAAACTACACCACCAAATATCATATTCGTCAGTACAGAGGGTCCCTCGAAAACTTTTGTCTAATAAATGTTTACTCTCTCCTTTGTTTCAACAACACAAAATTAAAAGAAAGTAACTTTCAAAGACGCCGTAGCTACTCTTTATAGAAAGTACGCCACCCATAAACAAAATGGATAAAATGATTTTAAAAATAGTAACAAGTTTTGAAAGGTAATACTTACTCTCCGGTGTAACTTTATCCTTTCTTGGACATCCTGACAGACTGAGGGAACAAATAATCAACTCGTCAGTTAGTTCATGTAGGTACTCTACAATACGGTCACAAACTTTGTTAACTACGTAATTTATGTCTAAACTTCCGACATCAGCAAGAAATATGTACATTGAGAAGTAGTCCTGACATTTCCCAACAAAGTTAGGGACAGTACAGATGTTTCAGTTGTCTGTTTGGACGCCTAGCGATGTCTCTTTAGGATTAGGTGTAGTTTCGCTGAAATACATGATGATCATCATTACTCACCTCCTGTGGTGTGTATAGAGGCCGGTGACGTGGCCCTGCCCATTGCAGCCGGGAGTAGGACACTTGTTGCCTTCTGTGAACAAATCGAACAGGCCACAAATTAGTATTTTCCTAATCATCGTGCGGGGGCGTGCGAGCGCGATCGATACGGGCGGTGGCGGCGGCGGGCGTGCCAGCGGGGCGTACCTGCGCGGCCCCGCCCACTCCCCGGCACCACCCCGCATACTTCCAAGAAAAAATAAAGAACGCCAGGCGGCTGCGCGCCCGGACTAACAATTTTTCTTTCAGGAGAAGGGGGGGCGGCGCAGTAACGCCCCGCCCACCGCCTGCCTGACCCGTTTTTATTGCGCGTCGCCCTCACATAAACCTGGCTATCACTGGCAATACGAGGAAAACATTTAGGTATCTTATATACAATATTGGCGTAGGTGGAGTTTCGCCGTACTCTAGACGTAACTGACTGAATTATGAGAAACATCTTACAAATGAGCTATGATTTGTTTCCAGCGTTTGTTACGAACTGAAATCTGTCCTGAAGAGGAACGTTTCGAATGATTACACCAAATTGAGTTTCTCAAACTTAATAATAATAATACTAGAAAGGTTTATTAACATTCTATCCAAGAAACAAATAAAATGTTATGTTAGTTGTTGTATTAAACTAAAAGACAAACGACACAGCACAAGAAGTTGAACTCTACTTGACATCGACCCGCAGCAACATTATGAGATATCGAGGAGCGACCTTGAAACAAACTTCGACTTAGTTCATGGCGCGGAGTTCTATGTTATAGTCATGTCGTTAAGAAAGTTTGACTATCGTTGGAGGTGAATGTAGCCGGGTACCTCTGGCGACTGGCGGGGAGAGTGCGGCGAGAGGTCGCGAATCGCGCAGCGGTTGTGCGGATGGCACAGTGCGCGCCTCTTGCAGCGCTGTAGCAGCGCGCGAACTTGCACCAGCGGGCTGCAGTACCGTGTATTGCTTCGAGTTTTTGAGTAAGCTCTTTTCGTGGTCGTTCGAGTAACCACCAAAAGGCTCGCTGGGTAAACTTGACCCGTGGATCCTGTGTTTTACTTCAGCCGGAGGCTTAAAAGCAGACTGTGTAGAATAAGGCAAAGACGCTGTTGCTGCCTTGTACGCATTATACAACGATTGTTTGTTGACAGATACCATTTCATTTTTTCGTTTATGGTTACTTTCTCTGTCGTCATCGTATTTATCTTCGTTTCTATCTGACATATCTATCTCTAGTTCGTTGGAAGACGAATCGACGAACTCGTCGAAGTTGGGTGCGTCGTAATTATTGGAGTATTTGTTGTGCCTGTCGTAGTCATCATTGCTTCTCTCCCTTTCAGACCTTTGAAGTTGCTTCCCATCGTCAGTATCGCTGGCCCCATTCGTATTGTGCTCTTCAATTTGACGGTGTAAGGAATAACTTTTATGTGAGGCATCAGCACTCTCAGATGATTGTGAAGGGGAAGACGGCAACATTTTATCAGAGCGCTTATCTTCAAATAGATTTTCAAAACCGTTTGCGTCGTCGTTCTCATCACCGCTATGAGTCGAACTTTGGTCCCTTGAGCAACTACCAGAGAGAGTTTTTAAAGCAGCTTGTGTTTCTTGAATGAGTGTATCTTCTATTTCGTCTTGCTGTCGAAACGGTTGTGGCCGACATGCAGGTAGGGGTCGACGACGTGCGTCTAGTTCCTCACGTCGTTCGTCGTCAAGTAGTCGTCGTCGTCGCTTATTAACCAACTCCTCCTCATCCATGGAGTCCACGCTTTCAAAACGATCTACTCTTCTGTCGCTAGTTTTGAAAGTTTCCACATCAACACCAAACTCTAGCCTTCTTTTGTTTATTTGAGACAACGACGGTGCCGTCGTGGTGAGCGGAGCCGTCCTGTAACAAAAGGATCCGTCAGAACCAGTCCTGCGTCACAGTATCTACATACATTGAAACAAAAAATATTCATCAACAATACAAATGAAATTTAAACTTTGTACTTGCGATTCCCATTTTCCATCCACAATCACAATATTTTTACGCGGAAATGATTCTCGGCGTTTCCAATCGACGTAATCAAATTAGAAGCACTTGTTTTAGGTTAAATGCACAAAAATCTTTCCCACGTAAAAACCATTTCACTCAAGAGCTTTCAGACCAAATTAAAATTTTAACAGCGGCAAAGGTAATATAGGAGAATAAATGATTACTCATTGTTGATAAGTAGATAAAATAACTAAAATGTTATAAAAACTAAGCAAGAAATTTTTCCAATCGGTTGAGGAAGTGCCGTTCGCCCGTGACGATTCTTTTCCGTACGATAACAGTGTAGGTATAAGAGCAAGATTTATAATTTTTGCGACGCCTATCAATTACTTCGCCACGCTTTTGAAATAACTTTTTCCTTCATTTTTGCTATAACTTTGATAAAATTAACTTTGTGTACGAAACTTTTCACAAACTTTTATGTCAGTGTGTTTATTTTTTGAAACATCAAAATGGCTTTCAGCAGTGTGAGTAAGTATGAAAAGAGTTTGCTTGTAATTGCTATTCAATCTTTTTGGTTAAGGCTCTCCTCATTCATAGTGATTTATAAGTAGAATTATATTTAGTATTAAAAATAGCATTGAATACAAATGAATAGCAAAATTTGTAGGTTTCGAGAGGCGTAGGCCTTGTAGTTGTAAAGAATAAATGTAGTGTTAATTATATCTCGTTCAGTTTATTTAGTTTTCTGATAACAGATTAATATTAATTATCGTGATTGATGGATTTAATGTTATCTCTATCTTGAGATAGTCCAAATGAAAATGAAAAATGAAGCAGACGACTCAAGCATTCAAGCATACAAATTATCACCAAGCACACACTCACACACTCTCAAAACTTTTATTCGATTTTAATAAGTTACGGTAATTGTAACTATTGAAACGTAAGTTTTTTAATTTTTAATTTTTTTTATTAATAATAATTTTAATAAGTTTTTATTAATAATAATAAAATTGTAGTTACTTTTATTTTTAAATTGAAAATACTTTTATTTGCATTATAAGTAAATAGCGTGTACGTACATTGGTAGCAGACGTTGCTTAAGTTTGCAACTTTAGAGTTTTTTTACTCTTAACAATTTTTATCTGATTTTTTTACAAACATTATGTTAATTTACCATCAAGATGTAAATACATGAATAAGGAATAAGTTACTGATATTTAACCTCAGTTATTTCATTTTAGGTTATGTTTTTTCCGTAGATACAATTCTGATACATGTTTTTATAGAAGATTCAGTATATTTTAATTTAAAGGAGACATTAAACGCACGTAAATATATAGACTTTTGGTTCAAAATGTATTTGTTACGTGTCTATTATTATTTCCGAGACAGAGAGAGAGAGAGAGAGAGACAGAGAGAGAAAGAGAGAAAGAGAGAAATAGAGAGAGAGAGAAATAGAGAGAGAGAGAGAGAGAGAGAAAGAGAGAGAGTTTTTGTATATCGATGAGCAGTTCTGATTAGGTATTTCACTTATATAGAACTATGTATTGTTTCAATCAATTCACAAGAATTTTATTTTTAGATATCTCAATGAATACCACAGCTTTTTTAACGTCGGGATAATAGGTGGGTGTGCAAATGTTTATTAAATAATTTTATTTATTCGCGTTTGTTCCCGCTTTTAACATGTTAGTATAATAACCATATATATTACTGGAGAAAATCAGTGGTGGAGAAATACTCTGTCCGTTCTTAGCACTTGGCAAATAGATGTAATTCCATAACTTTAGAGGTCAGTTTTTTTTAAAGTCATAATTATCTTAAATGAATACTTTAATTTTGATATTGATTTTATTTCTTTCTTACACAATATTAATCTCCTGAGCATAGGTGTTATGAAAATTTAGATATTGCACAGAGTGGGAACGTCAACTTTAGCACATTTTCTCAAAGCAGCGTGAATTATGTGACAACCGGTGGTACATTCCGTCTGACGGTCGAGTTTTTCGTCCTCCACCGCGTTTTGCATTTTGAGGTGGCAACGTCATAAATGAATACCTGTATGTAACTCCTGATTTTTGAACGCCTGCAACTATTTTATATTATTATTCTGTGTTCAGTTTATCTCTATTCTTCAAAGGCAATGAAAAGCATCAAATAAACTATTGTGCAATACTGGTCCATCTCAAGATACTAAGATTGGGATCAATGATGCTTCAAGTCGTGGGAGGGTTCGCCGGAAGGGCCGGACCGCTCTCGGCAAACATTTGGGAACGTGACTGAACTCTATAGTCAGTAATGACGTCATGCATAACGCGAAACGCGTTGTTAAGGACTTCAAACGTGTAGGCGCGGCTTTTCAATAATGGTGGTACTTCATAATTTGTTTCAAAAAGTGAATTTCAATTATGTGTTTTTTTAAGCAAAGCAACGTTTCGCGTTTTTTTTCGGGTGCCATGGTCAAGGTAAATTTTTTCTTATCTCTAAATCATGTATATTTTTTTCAGAAAAAATAAAACAAATAATTGTTATTTGTTATGCATGGCTGCAAAGTTGTTGTTTGCCGCGAGTGCTTGTATTGAAACCTGAGCAAGCGAAGGACCTAAGATTATTATAGATTATTAATATAGATAATTATTATTGTAGATTAATATAGATTCCTGAGCGTACCGAGGGTTTCAAGGCACGAGACGCAAAACATTTTTGCTGCCGAGCGAAACACACAACTTTTCACCTCACTATAGTGAGAAAATGGTAGATGAAGGAAAAACAGTTGAACTATAAAACCTTTTTTAATGAAAAGAAAAAAGGTTATCTTCGGATGCGTTCTGAATTTACACCTCATCAATTTTTATTCTTACTCGTACTTTTATTTTGTGTGATTACGTGATTATTGAAATTATTATAATTCTTCGACGAATTAAAATAATTTAATAAACACAATAAGTTATCATTGTCAATTTAATGTGAACAATAATAACAATAAAATATACCAACGGATTTATGTTGCATAAATAAGTAATGGACGACAAATCGCTTAATAGAACGTGCCATTATCTTTTTTTTTTCAACGAAACAAAAAGTTAGGTGCTGTGACGATGGACTGTGGCGTCCATCGTCAAGTACGAATTTCAAAAACCTTTTCCATAAGTGCAACAAACGCGCAGATTTATAATGAGAAAGAAAGTCTTTCCGAGCTAGTGAGATGAAACGCTATTTAAAAAATAGTTCAATATATATTGAATTATGAAAAATTATAATTTCACTTAGGAAATGCAACTGTTTTTATGGATCTAAATTGTGAATTCTTGTTTTTTTAATACACCAACGTCTCGGGCTCTTTTCGGGTGCCATGGTCATGACTGACTTTTTCGGATCTAAATTGCTTATATTTACAATTTTTTGATAAAGTTAGAAATCGATTTGGCATTTGATTTGCGGTTGTTAACTATGTTAAGTTTTATGTAAAAACATGTGAAGCTTTATTTCTATTAAGAAAAAGCGGTTAAACCGTACTGTAGTTACTTGGTAATGAAAATTGTTCTAATAATATTTTTATTTTAGACATTAATTTTGGATTAGAATCAATCACTTTACATTCTACTGTACCTATGTACTTAATATGTGGAGGTCATTGCAAAGCCAGAGGTAGTTTTGCAATCTTGAGTGCATACTAATAGCAATGTATAATAATATACATTGTTCGAAAAAAATATTAAATAACAATACAAGTTACTAGGCTGTATGTCAATTACCTGGCGAAGCGCAGGTCTATCAAATTTTTTTCCTATTTCTTTTTCACCGTCCTGCGCATTTGCGCGCGTAAAATTTTGAATATTTTTCCCATAGATTAAACATGGCGAACTTTGACCTAATTAACTCGGCTCGCAAATCATAATTCTAAATAAAAGTTTCATTACGACCTGCAGAATTGTATTTTTTATGTTAATTTCAAATTTCATGAATTCCAGTTGAGGAACGGCCGAGTGATTCCGTTCGCTGATTGTGTAATTTGAGAGGATGCCAAGAAAGCTTCGCTCACTGCGCTTCGATAAATTATGTGAATGATTGAAATACATTTCATTATTATGATTATTAGTACAAAGATCGAACACTAAGAAAAAATCCTTCGACCGGGCTGGATTCGAACAAGTGCCTTCAGCATACCGTGCCTGACGCTCTCCCAACTGACCTACGGAATAAACCAGCAGACCTTACGAATTTTTCTATGCGATTACTGCAGATTTTTGTTTTTGGTTTTTATCGTTTTGCCGTAGTGCCATCTGTGAGAAATCTATGAAAGTTTGAACATTTCAATAAACAATGTTGAGAAACATTTCATTAATTCACTCTAATCCATTTGTACCCTTGATATACTGTACCTACTTAAATATGTAAAATTGAGTTTAACCTAATTCGAATACATTTCTAGGAACGAGGACCTGGCGACCTGTAATAAAGGCATTTTTATACCTAACTCACACACCAGTCTCTTACAAATAAGGTTGAATACTAAACTCAATCTATTTGTCAGTAAACATTTCATTACTCAATAATTTCCCTCGTACGTTGAGAGAAAATAATAATTATTTAATTAATTATTATTATATATATATAATAAATTAACAGTATTCTCATCGAACAATTTATGACTCTAGCAATTTGAATAAAAGTGATTACAAGAGATCACAGAGAGTTTATGCACTATACAATAGCAATGGAAATACAATGATTAAAACAGTACTGTTTGAACGAACGAATTCAAATAAATTAAAGTAGATTATTATGAAATTACTTGTAAATATTTTCTTAACTAAGGTATATAAACAAATGCAACGAGAATAGAGAATAGTATGTACAAATATTGAGGGCAATTAAGTAAACCCTGAGGTGGTAGCGTTTAA